TACATTCTCCTTTCACATGCATACATTTCTACTCTCACACACTTACATTCTCCTTTCACATGCATACATTTCTACTCTCACACACTTACATTCTCCTTTCACATACATATATATATATAGAATGTATGTATGTCTGAAGAAAATATGTGTATGTAAGAGAAGAATGTATGTATGTGTGAGAGAGAGTATAGTGGAAATGGAAGGAGTATAGTAGTGATGGGAAGTTCGGTTCTTTTCCGTGAACCGGTTCTTTCGGACAGTTCGATTCAATAAACCGTTTGAAAAAAACGGTTCACCGGTTCTTTTACACTCGACGTAATGACGTCATTGGTGATGACGTAATGGCGTTAAGTCTATCGCGGGCTTAACACATTCAAATATAAAGTCAGTAATCATAACATCAGTCAATTAAAACATCATTATAATCTGATACGTTTCTTACAATTTGGATTTTTGTATCTAAAGCATCAACACATATACAGGCAGTGATCTGCAAACTAGGATGTTTTACAGTTATGACGTCAATAAATTAGTCTTCATTAGCGCAGAAACTATGCTCCACTTACTATATATAATCCATTATGGTTTATTTGTAATTAAGTAAACTGAATCGTTCGAAACAGTTCGCATCTCCAGTAAGCAAACACTAAGTCACATTTACTAAAGTTACTCACTTTTTGACGTGCCTGACACTCCCTCTGACTCGATATAAACCAACATCCCGGAGTTATTCTGTTAGTCCAACAGTTCACTGACTTAACCTGCTGTAAAGAGAGAACTGATGATGATGATGAGCACGAGCAGCTGATACTGCTGAGTGAGCATGCGCGGCACACATGAATGAACGTACACGGCCTGTCACGGTTCTTGTTCTCGAGTCAAGAATCGGTTGCAATGATTTTCGGATCACCAGTACACAACTGAGAACCGCTTCTTTTGGACTTGTCCGATTTGAGAACCGATGAGCTGATGATACTGCGCATGCGTGATTCAGCGACAGCGTGTGTGATCTGAACTACCGAACCGAACAGTAATGACTGTCACAGCACAGCAGCAGTATAGTGGAAACGGAAGGAGTCTAGAGGAAACGGAAGGAGTATAGAGGAAATGGAAGGAGTATAGTGGAAACGGAAGGAGTATAGAGGAAACGGAAGGCGTATAGAGGAAACGGAAGGAGTATAGTGGAAACGGAGGGAGTATAGAGGAAAGAGGAGGAAGAAAGAGGGTAGCGGGAGGGGAAGGAGAAAAGGTAATGACTGTCACAGCACAGCAGCAGTATAGTGGAAACGGAAGGAGTCTAGAGGAAACGGAAGGAGTATAGAGGAAATGGAAGGAGTATAGTGGAAACGGAAGGAGTATAGAGGAAACGGAAGGCGTATAGAGGAAACGGAAGGAGTATAGTGGAAACGGAGGGAGTATAGTGGATAGAGGAAACAGAAGGAGCATAGTGGAAATGGAAGGAACATAGTGGAAATGGAAGGAGCATAGAGGAAACGGAAGGAGTATAGTGGAAACGGAAGGAGCATAGTGGAAACGGAAGGAGCATAGTGGAAACGGAAGGAGTATAGAGGAAACGGAAGGAGTATAGAGGAAACGGAAGGAGCATTGTGGAAACGGAAGGAGTATAGTGGAAACGGAAGGAGCATAGAGGAAACGGAAGGAGTATAGAGGAAACGGAAGGTGTATAGAGGAAACGGAAGGAGTATAGTGGAAACGGAAGGAGCATAGAGGAAACGGAAGGAGTATAGAGGAAACGGAAGGAGTATAGTGGAAACGGAAGGAGTATAGAGGAAACGGAAGGAGTATAGTGGAAACGGAAGGAGTATAGAGGAAACGGAAGGAGTATAGTGGAAACGGAAGGAGTATAGAGGAAACGGAAGGTGTATAGAGGAAACGGAAGGAGTATAGTGGAAACAGAAGGCAGGTCAGGCGCGATCAGGGTCACTGGGACAGGTCATGATCAGCATGGCTGAGGTAGATGAGGCGGCCGCATAAGTATTTCAGCAAGCTATTTGGATTAAATATACATACAGCCCTTGAGCGAGTTGTGATTGAGGACGTGGGCTAAGCCTCAGTCGAGTTGCCAGATACACGCATTATAAGCGTCTATGGATTTTTCCCCCCGGAGTGTCTAGTTACACTAAGTGCAAATAGCCCACCTTGTTGATACCCAGCAAACACGTTAATGTGGGGCCCAAATGGGTTTCACATGGGCTACAGGGGTACAGAGAGGGCAAGGGCATAAAATGTGCATCGTATCTGGGGCCCTCTTGGGTGACCCAGCTAGGACCCACATGGGTGAACCCAGGTGGGCTCCCCATGTGGTTCCTAGTTGGGTAATTAATGGAAAATTTGTGCATGGGCTCAAAATGGGCTACACATGGGACCCTATTTGTTTTATCAAATATACAAGTGCAAACATAATCCCATATAGGGTGATTACATGGATATATATAGTGCACCTATGTGTCTTTAAAATGATTTTTGTTGTTGTTTTGACACTTGGATTACTTAATCAACATCTAAAAATTCACAAAGAGGAGAGAATAGTCGCGCAAGCAGAGAAAATAGGCTCTAATTGATGTATGTGCCAAAGGGAATTATTTTTTTTGACTGTACTTCACATATTTTATAGAACTTAATCAATTATCTGTTGTCAATACAACAAATTAATTTTTAATCGTTCACAGTCATATTTAATCTTTCACAGATGTGAGTCATGGGGAAAATATTTGTTCAGTACCGATTCTGTATTAAACCTTATTATGACCAGAGCTAATGTGTCACCATTGTTAATAAAGAGACAGAGTGATAGTTTAGAGCATATCTTAAATTCCACAATATCAGCGAAAGTTGAATATCACACTATTAGTAGTCTATGACTAATGGTGCATATTGTCACCAGTGTTCTTAGTAAATTAAAGTAAAAGCTTGTTCAAAAATCTATTTAAAACATTTGCTTGGGCAGATAAGACCACATATGTGACTCTGGACCACAAAACCAGTCTTAAGTGTCAATTTTGAAAATGGCCTTTAAAGTTGTCCAAATTAAGTTCTTAGCAATGCATATTACTAATCAAAACTAAAGTTTTAATATATTTACAGTAGGGCATTTACAAAATATCTTCATGGAACATGATCTTTACTTAATATCCTAATGATTTTTGACATAAAAGAAAAATCTATAATTTTGACCCATACAATGTATTTTTGGCTATTGCTACAAATATACCCATGCTACTTATGACTGGTTTTGTGCTCCAGGGTCACATTTGACATATTTAAACCTGTCCATGCCACTGTTTCATCTATTAATTCAATCATCCTGCTGGTTTATCAGAAACAGACCAATGATGACCTCATATGATGCAGACCTCAGGTCTTTTGAAAACACCTCTGTTTAAGTAAATTTTAACATAGAATAAGATTCATGTTCACTGCAGCATTATATCCGATGAGAAAATCAAAAACGGCACAATATATCCTTTATCATTTACACTATTATATATCATTTCAAAAATATAGTGAGTTTATTCTTTTATTGGAAACACTCAATTACAACAAGGGATTTCAGGAATAAACTACAGTGACACCTGATATACATGCAACAATATAAAACTAAAAAGTCTCTTTTTAGCTCACTAATATGGTGTTGCTACTTTGAAGCAAAATGGGAACCAATCCAAAATTTCAAAATTAATCACAGAAGCAAGTCAGAGCCTTCATTAGTGTGCACACATCAGCTCATCTTCCCACACCACTGTAAACATCTACAACAGAAAGAGAGAAGAAAGTGTGTCAGATACCAGGAAACTCCCATTACCCAGAATTGATCTGTTAAACCATACCACATGCACTGAATAGGTGTGGCACTTGTGTTCACAGAGACATACCACATATTGACATTACTAATAGTTAAGGCATGCTTTTATAGTATTCAGCATCAGGACAGAAGTATTACAGTACAGATGATCCAAAATTAAGATGCTTTATGGGATAAACAGGTAAACTGTATCTTTTCTCACCATTGTCATTCTACAGAATTGTGTTGCTGCTGCTCCTCAGCAGGAGAACTGCAAAAGACAAAGACTGATTTGAGATCATTACGTCAATCTTTACAAGTATTTGTCCCATTTTCAAGACTAAATGTACAGCAGTAACCAAATTACTAGACACAATAACCATTTATCATGGGGCATGAATGATACCTGGAATCATGTGACTTATAGAGGGGCGAAGTACTGGTACTTTTTGATGTGATGGGTTTCCTATAGCCAACTATAGCCAACAATGGCACAGTATAGTGCAAAGTATATACATATATATATATATATATATATATATAGTGTATACATACAGTACAGCTGAGCATCTTTCAATACTCCATCCACTTGTTAAGTATGGCGTCACCATTTCCAGGTCCAAAACCTCTCAGATGCCAAAAGCAAACAACAGGTGCTAATATAGAGTACAGTACACTCACAGTACACTCTTCATATCGAAATCTCAGACAGCCAGACAATGATTCATCTTTCCACACATCATCCCTCCCCACACCTTACTGATTTTAACCAAGAACACTTATAAAAGTGTCTTTGATGCCTTTTTACCTCTTCAGCTTCCTTGTGGACAAACTAATTAAGCTCAAAGTATATTTCCTTTTCATGTGTACACTAGGGTATTTATAAAGTGCATGTGACATACATTTTGTAATTAGTATAGTATGGTGAAATCTGTAGCTTATGTGTGTAACCCAATTTTTCTAACCATGTAGTTTGTGGAGTATACTTTCAAAAGTTCCTTGTTCAGTTTGCTTGTGTTAAGTGTTTGCATCAAAACTGAAGTATATTTAGGGCTTTAATACTTAAGGCACACATATGTGCTGAGTGTACAGAGTACATGAGGTTTAAAAAAAATCTGGCTGTGTATGTACAGTACACACATACCATGCTAATCAAGAAATTTGTCACACAGACCATATGCAAAGATGCATTTCCAAATTGTCCTCTATCCATAGTATTGCTTTCCGCAGTTAAAAGTTCTCTAGTCTGAATGAAATATGAATATAAATACAAGAGGAGATGGACTTTTTGCTGAAGGAAGCATTATTATGGATTATGGAGTTGTAGTTTAGCCAGAAGAAACGGATTGAAGTATAAAATGTCTTAATGATGGATTTGTTTCTTACAAGCACACAGCTTTTCACTTCACAAGATGATAATTTATTGAAGTGGTGTGGGTTACTTGTGGATTATTGTGATGTTTTTATCAGCTGTTTGGACTCTCATTCATTCGGCACCCATTCACTGCAGAGGATCCATTGATGAGCAAGTGATATAATGCTACATTTCTCCAAATCTGATGAAGAAATAAACTCATGTACATTTTGGATGGCCTGAGCGTGAGTACATTTTCATTTTGGGGTGAAATGTTCCTTTAAACATAACTACCACAAGGATGTGGGTTTTACATGCTTGATAAATTACCACAGTCTTTCTTATTTAACAACTTCAAAATTCATGTTTGGGGCCTGGCTATGTGTAATTTACACAATACATTTTTAATTTAAAAACTCGTTACTTTGTAGTTTTAAGATATTTTGTGAAACTTAGTGTGTCTTTGGGGGCTGATTGTCAAGTAAAAAAAGTATACTACTGTATTATTTTCTCTATATTTATTCTTACAGCTCCTAGGGTTTACGTGTTGCATGTACTGTATGTTAAACAAACACAAATCTTTCGGTGCTTGGAAACCAATCATGTGGTCTCAATTTAAGGTGTTGTCCAGCAGTGTGTTTCTGTCAGAACAGAAGTCATAGTGATGTGCTGTGTTCCGTTCTAAGGCCACAGTTAAATTTTTAGCCCACACGGCCACTAACACTATATATAAACTGTAAATAAAATACCATTGTAGTACAGTAATAGCAATCTGGTGAAAATTAGAAAAATAATATATTTATTAGTGCTGTCAAAATTAGCGTGTTAATGCAAGCGATAAATTTTTCCAGTTTAACTTAACACAGGGGCGGGGCTAGGGTTGGCCACCCGACTCACAACTGCTGCTTTTGTCTTTTTATTCTTGACAAGAATTGCGTTTATTTAAATGCAGAACGTCTTTATGACCACATCAAACAGGAGACTTTTCAGACGTGCACAGAAAACAGTCAAACGACAGTCAACCGAGCGTGGAAACGGTACAGGTGACAAAGAGCTTCAGTAGAATGAAAGTGAACTGCAGTCAGATGAGATGTTGTCAGGCCATGTCAGTAAACATGAATTTTCCTGTCCTGTCAACCACTATACTGTGCTCGTAGCACGTGGTCTTTAATCGCATACACAAATACGGCGGCGAACATGTGTTTCAGATCCACGTCACATCACGTACAGCAGCGGCAGCGTTTAAAGTAATAGCAGTCAAATAACCTAATAACCCAGCTGATGTGATGTCTGTTAATCAAAGAACAAAAGAAAAAAGAGGAAATCAATAACTTGTGTAGCTTTAATGATTCATTTATATTTCATTTAGAATTAAGTGTTAATAATGTAAATATGACATTTATTATAATGGGTTTATGCGAAGATTGTTTTAAGTTAAAATTAGAAGTCCAATAAATGTTAAAATTGATAGCTCTCAATTTTCATTTAATGGTGAATGGCTATAGTCAATGGTTAAATATTAGGAAAAAAAGAACAATTTCCAAGAGACATCAGTAGTTATTGGTATCAGTGATAGTCGCCTTCAGTCATAAAAAAGATGTCACTAAACAAGTTTTTAAAATATGCTGTTTTTATGTTGTTTCTACATTAATTTGGAGATTGAATGTGAAATTATTTAAATGTAAAAGTATATTTAAAAACTTTAAAGTTAGGTGGGATTAATCATGATTAAATTTCAGAAATAATGCACAATTAATTAGTTAATTTATTTTATCAATTGACAGCACTAATATTTATATAATACATACATAGATACATAGTGTGACGAGAGGGGCAGGTGGAGGAAATGCTAATGCACGACACCTGCGCCACTCACCGGTCTCGAGTCCCACGGAGGAGCTCCGGAAGGATAAAAGGAGGAGTGACGACAGTGTTGGACAAGAGAGGACCAGGCCTGGATTTTATTTTGTGTTTTGTGTGCGGCAGTCATCCGCGAGGGGCTGCCGCTTTACTTTCATTTTGTGTTTGTTTATTTTATTAAAGTCTTGAACGTTCGCCGGTTCCCGCCTCCTTCTTCCCGTGACTACGAACTTTGTTACATTGGTGCCGAAACCCGGGAGGAAGGAGGGACACGCTGCCAGAGATCCCTCGCCGCTGTGGTGAATCCGGGCGGCGGAGGAGTGTCGAGCCGTCCACCGAGGGCTATCCAGTGCCGCCGCCAGGCATCGCAGAAGAGTTTACCCAGCTGGTGGAGGGCCGAGCGGCAGTGTGTCTGGGAACCGGAACGATATTTCTTTTCTTTTTTTGTCTCTCCTCATCCTTCCGTCTCCTTTTCTCTCGCCTCGTCTGTCTGTCCTTACCCCCAGGTATGCCGTGGCCGCCGTGATCGGCTCCCACAGAGGGGGGGAGTTGAGCGCAGTCTCGTGGGTACCCCCCGGCCTGCGAGGGGCGATGGGGGTATGTGACGAGAGGGGCGGGGCCGAGAGCTGTGGGAACGGAGCGAGGCTGGTGGAGGAAATGCTAATGCGCGACACCTGCGCCACTCACCGGTCTCGAGTCCCATGGAGGAGCTCCGGAAGGATAAATGGAGGAGTGACGACAGTGTTGGATGAGAGAGGACCAGGCCTGGACTTTGTTTTGTGTGCAGCAGTCGTCCGCGAGGGGCTGCCACTTTACTTTCATTTTGTGTTTGTTTATTTGATTACAGTTTTGTTTAAATGTTTGCCGGTTCCCGCCTCCTTCCCATGACTACGAACTTTGTTACACATAGATACATATATATATACATATATATATATATATATACAGTGGGGAAAAAAAGTATTTAGTCAGCAACCAATTGTGCAAGTTCTCCCACTTAAAAAGATGAGAGAGGCCTGTACTTTTCATCATAGGTATACTTCATATCAGACTCATCTTTTTAAGTGGGAGAACTTGCACAATTGGTGGCTGACTAAATACTTTTTTGCCCCACTATATATATATATATATATATATATATACATACAGTGTTTTTATTTACTGACCTGTGCACATAATTTTATTTCCTGTCTTTTTCATCTGGGATGATCACCTCTGGTGAAAGAGAAAAGCAGATGATCATCACCATATCTCTGTAAACATCCAGTACACACACACACACATTAATACATGCTTAAAACCAACTCAAATTAATCATAGTCAGCACAAAAAATGCTCGCTTGCCATTCCTCTCCTGGATAAACACCTTAAAGGATCAATGTCACTATAATCAGCTGAAAATGCACCTTGTAGCATTAGCATGTCAAGCAAAGTGCAAATGATCCTATACTTACGTTTGACCTCTAGCTTACAGGCAACTGTAGCCTCACCAAGGGCATTCTTGGCTCTACAAGTGTAGATGCCACCGTCAAAGCTGGATGGTTTGCGGATTTCAAGTGAGCACACTCCCTGGTTGTTGATCTGCCTGTATTTGGGATCATCTCCTATGATCATCTGATTCTTAAGCCACTCGATCTTAGGCTGCAAACAAAATACATGTAATTTCAACTGACGTGACCACAACCAACATTATAATAAAAGTGGACCATTTACAGATTCGATTGATGTATTGATCTTATCTGTAAGATCAAAACTGAAAGTGTAATTTAAGTTATTTTCGGTGTTCTCGGTCAGGAGAAGATGCCACAAAACGCGTATCCGCGTTAGTCGACCCCAGAGAGTTAACAAATCATTCACAACTGGACCATTTAACACATTAACATTTAAACACTCCCTCAATTAAATGAAATCAATTTTAATAAGGTGTAATTAATACACGGACAACAACCCGAGAGGCATTTATTAATCCACAGCAATGCTGTCAACTGCTGTAACTAAAGCTATTCCCAACAGCAGTGCTAATGCTCCAGTAGCCTAATTAATTTTATCCCTCACACACACTTAGAGGTGTCATGGTTCTTATATAAAATGTCACACGTCTCATTCGCTGAATTTCTGCCTACTCGAGGTTCATCAGCTGAAATAGCATGTTACTGCACCTCATGGGTCAAGTTTAGCGGAAGCATTTTAGAATTCTGTTAGGATTTTAACCTTATGATGCTAACTGATGTCCCATGGGTAACTTTCCAGAAAAGACATGTTGATCTAATGCCTTAAGTTCCACACAAAGATGGTGTCCATAAGATGCTAAATTGCTTCAGACTTGACATAAGATGCAAGCACAAAATGGCTAATGCAAAGGTGCTTTTAAGGAAAGGTGGAGATGAGGTCTTAACATACTCCACTTCATTAATTAAACATGCTAATGTGTCGGCTCCGATAGCCTTGTCGGCAGCATGCCGATATACAGCGCTGTTGCCTTTCCTGACCCCGTCCCCTATCTCTCTTCCACTTCGCTTCATTCTAATGTGAGATTAGATTAGTAGTACAAACAGTAACTCCAGTGAAATCTTGAAAAAAATTCCCTTTGAGCAGTCAAGCTAGCTGATCCTCTTTTATGCTAATGCAAAACCTTTACAGGAAGCAGCCTAATGGAGTTAGAGTAGCTAAGCTGAAATAATATGATCAAGCTATATCTATTGTATGTTAGATAAGCTTTTGAGCATAATGGATGTCAAAAATAGATCCTTAGTTAATAGACATGACAACACACAACAGACAGAAGCCGGACCCTGGTTGGTTGGTTTTAGCTGGTCTTCCAGCCTGGTCATAGCTCATTTGCAGGCTGGTTTTAGAGGGGTTTTGACCACTTCTGTAGCTGCTCAGGCTGGGAGACCAGCTAAAACCAGCTACTTCCAGCTTAAACTTCTCACACAGAACAACCTCCTGGACAGCAACCAGTCTGGTTTCTGAAGTGGACATTCAACTGAGACTGCCTTGCTCTCAGTTGTTGAAGCCCTAAGACTGGCAAGAGCGGATTCCGAATCTTCAATACTTATCTTGCTGGATCTGTCTGCTGCTGTTGTCATGGCTAACCACCAGATCCTCCTGTCAACCCTATTGGCAAAGGGCATCTCAGGAACTGCACTCCAGTGGTTTGAGTCTTACCTCTATAGATAGGTCCTTCAAGGCATCTTGGAGAGGTGAGGTGTCCAAGTCGTAACATCGAACTACTGGGGTGCCTCAGGGCTCACTTCTTGGACCACTTCTCTTCTCTGTCTACATAGCATTACTAGGTTCTGTCATTCAGAAACATGGCTTTTCATATCACTGCTATGCTGATGACACTCAACTCTACCTCTCATTCCATCCTGATGATCCGACAATACCTGCTCGCATCTCATCTTGTCTAACAGACATTTCTTGCTGGATGAGGGATGATCGCCTTCAACTCAACCTTGCCAAGACAGAGCTGCTTGTGGTTCCATCAAACCCGTTTCATGACAATTTCACCATCCAGTTAGGCACATCAACCATAACTCCTTCAAAAACAGCCAGAAACCTTGGAGTTATGATTGATGATCAGCTGACTTTCTCAGACCACATTGCTAAAACTTCCCGGTCCTGCAGATTTGCTTTATTCAACATCAAGAAGATCAGGCCCTTTCTTTCGGAACATGCTTCACAACTCCTTGTTCAAGCTTTTGTTCTGTCCAGGCTGGACTATTGCAATGCTCTCTTGGCAGGTCTTCCAGCCAGTTCTATCAAACCTTTACAATTAATCCAGAATGCGGCAGCAAGATTAATTTTTAATGAGCCTAAAATAATGCACGTAACACCTCTATTTATCAATTTGCACTGGCTATGAACAGCTGCTCGCATACATTTCAAGGCATTAATATTTGCCTACAAAACCACCACTGGCTCTGCACCCCTTTACCTAAATTCATTACTTCAGACTTATGTGCCCTCTAGAAGCTTGCGTTCTGCAAGTGAACAGTGCATTAATGTGCCATCCCAAAGAGGCACAAAATCACTTTTAAATTAAATGTTCCCTCCTGGTGGAATGACCTGACCACCTCCAGCTGAGTCCTTAGCTATCTTCAAGAATCGGCTAAAAACACATCCCTTCCAACTTTATTTGACCCTCTAACTCTAGCATTCTCTATTCTAATTATTTTCTTCAAAAAATAAATAAAACTTGCACTCTATTCAATTACTAACTGCTTGTTTTCTTAAAAAAACAACAACTAACACTAGCTTATCTATTCTTTTTGTATTCTATCTATTTGTATTATTTTATTTATTATACACTTAACAAAAAATTACAAAAAATGTAAATCTAAATGTTAACTTGGCACAGACCAGCTCAGACCAGCCAACCAGACTGAGTTTTTTTTTTCTTGATATTTATTTTTTGCCCAGCAGGGGGATGTAATTGGTCATCTGATTCGTCTGTGCTGATCTTGGATAACCCAACAATAGAGCATGTTCAGTCAACTTGTGGACTTTCACATACTGGCAATATTAACAAGCCAATCACAAATAAGACTGCCCAAGTCATTAATCTGGACATAAATATGAGCATCATTCCATTAACTCATGAAAACACATTCCATTAACTGAGGAACATTTCCAAGTGCATTTCCACTTGAGCTTGGTTTGGCACAATATGATTACAAACCATTTCCCAGCACAATTCTCAACAATCCTGTTAGAATGCTTGTAGCAGGTGTGGATAAACCATCCCAAAATTTGTGGGACCCTACCTGGCTTCCCCTATGAAATACCTAGGCTCCACCACTGGCTTGTAATGATGCAATAATGGTTTACAGTAGCCTGCTTACTCCAATGTTTACTTACTGTACATTATCACACTGTCAAGAACTCTTGTGTCTCAGACATATCCTGATTTTTCAGCACCAAAGTAGAAAAAGAAAGTGTAATGGTGTTAACTGACCCGGATAAACATGGAAGGGAATGACGGTGAAAAATGATCTACGGCATCTTTCTATGAAGTGCATCATGGGGTTCTCTTATGACTTTGAAGGTTTTAGGTTTCCAACTTCATCCAAAAAGCTCAAGACACCCTGGAACTCGGTTGGTGCCAAATGGAAATTGGGCCCCAGCACTACAAACCAGAGCAAGGACTTTTGAGTGTCACAGTCCTTTATGAGTCCCTGACTGCCAACTCAAACTCTGCCTGTGTGTTACTGTATTGCTTGAAGTATGTTGTAAATACTGTACCCTTACTCTTGAGGAAGCCATTATTGAGTTGTTCTGCTGTATAACATCATGTTCTAGTGTGGCTTTGAAGGTTTTACATTTCCATTTGCATCCAATTGCATCCAACATGCCCTAGACAGCTCGGACATCTCTGGAACTTTGTTAGCATGAAATAGAAAGCAGGTCCGATCACAGCTAGATTTAATGAACAAGAATTTTGGAGTGTCCTAGAAGGCAAACTCACCAGGATTTGCATTCAGCCCAGATTTTGCATCCATCTCAGCTGTTCTAGAAACTTGATTCTCCATCCCCCTCCTTGGGAATGACAAGCTAACACAGTCCCCACATTACTGTCTAGCAGCTGGCCTCCTTGGTCAGCAGGAACAGTCTGCACTGGGCTTTTTGTACCTTATGACTACAGCTATGGGTGTAATTAAGCTATTTATTGAGATAGAACTCAAGGACATTTGGATATGTTGATACCATCATTGGATTATTAACAGCTGTTGTTGAATTACAATGATACTCCTCCAGAAGTATATTTGTAGCAACACATCAGCTAATTCTTGGCTACAAACATCTAGCTATGATAGACAACGTGGAAGAAGGACAAGGAGGACTATACCAAATCAGCAGAAAAGAGCTGATCCATACCTTTGGACTGCCTCGCACTGCACATAGTAGTTTCGTGGTGTAGCCCACAGTGGCAGCTCTGTCGCTGAGAGGTGCTGTGAACTTGGGAGCCTCACTGAAATCGTGCTCCTTGTACTCCAGTGGTTTGTATACAATACCTACAGGACAGAGGACAACAATCTCAGCCGGGACTGACAGTTGTGCAGAGGGAATAGCTGTTACATGACATTAGGAATGTGCAAAACTACAGGTTTTAAAAAGCGGTTGGTGGGTTCCTAGTCGGCTAAATAGAGCCCCAGTCGGACATGTTTCATAGAGTGGGTGCAAAGCAACAGCAAAAGATGTTCGTCTGAATGTTTATATTTGTAGCAGCTATGAATTTAAGGCATGGGTGTCCAATCGTGCTCCTGGAGGGCAACCATCCTGCAGAGTTTAGCTCCAACACACATGTAGTCCACTTGAAGGAGTGAATGAAAACAAGCGAGGGGACACTGAATGTGCCGGAAATGCTAGATTTCTAGCTAGACACAGGAATTTATTCTAACAGTGCACATGGCCTTTTGCTATGCACTGCCTTAATTTCATATATATTCTAATTAGGGATGAACTATTCAACTAGTCACCCAACAAACTACAGTGAGGTTGACTAGTTTACTAGAATTCTCTTTATTTTAGTTTTGATATGTTTAGCTGTAATGCTTTAATTAGCATCATGCAGCTTGCTATGCTTTAGCTCATGGAAGGTAGCCCTTCAGATTCAAGAATGGACACCCTTGATTTAAGGGGAAAAGAGAATGATTGACCGATAATCATGCAAACTGTATAACAGCTAAGCGTCTAGCCGTTGAGTGTACATTGGTTGTACACCCGTTATTGAAGTGCATTATGGGATTGAATGAGTGCACTCAATAATGTCCACTATGGTCTTGGACACCACTACAAATGGCAGTTCCCTCAAATAGTGGCCTATATAAGCGTATAGTGGGCGAAGTGCCCTATATAAGGGCATGGGGGCAATTTTAGACAGCCTTTGATTAGCTGGTTCAGGTGTGATTAATGAGGTTTGGAGCTAAAATCAGCTGGAAAGTAGATCTCGAGGGACAAAGTTGCCCAGCCCTGCTTTAGCTGTTATACAGTTTGCATGATTATCGGTCAATCATTCTCTTTTCCCCTTAAATCAAGGGTGTCCATTCTTGAATCTGAAGGGCTACCTTCCATGAGCTAAAGCATAGCAAGCTGCATGATGCTAATTAAAGCATTACAGCTAAACATATCAAAACTAAAATAAAGAGAATTCTAAGTAAACTAGTCAACCTCACTGTAGTTTGTTGGGTGACTAATTGAATAGTTCATCCCTACTTAGAATTGATATGAAATTAAGGCAGTGCATAGCAAAAGGCCTTGTGTTTGCAATGCTTTTGAAATTACAGGATGGAACAGAAAGTTACAGCAGGCTGGAAGTTAAGAAACGTAACCAGTTCAGTATCAGCTTCCTCGGTGTGTAACAGTTAACTGATCTTATATAAACTCATGTCTACAGCTGATTGATGCATGTTGCTAAATTATTGTCAGTTTTGCAACACTGCAGCATAATCCATGTTGTTATGCAGATCCCATGTAGCTCTGATGTGAGGAATGAGAACTGTCATTAGCACTCAAGGCAGAGCCAAGTCTTATCTTCACACAGTGAGTACACTTATGTGCTGTCAGCGTTTGCTGCCAACAAAATGGCCTCACGTGTTTACAGTTCACTTAGTATCATTTATTAATATCAATTATATCAATTATTGTTAAGTTTATTTGTAGGCTGTTTGCAGTTACCATTCAATGTAACAACTTGCCACATTTATTATTGACTGTGAGGTCATGTGTGCATTTATGTGCCTTCTGGAGTCAGAACTACATTACGAGAAACAGTGAGGTGTGTTCTAGGTCTGTTTACTTCTATCTGCCGTCAGCATTGCTATGGTTTGCATCTTGCTTTGGACTTGATTGACAGATTGGCATTCTGGCATTCACCAGCTTCATACTTTCTAACAATATCGCTACTTTTTTCCACTTTATGTCTGCTTATAATACATATAAAATACAATAATTTTATATCAGTATCACTATATTCATAATTGTGACCACACAGTCTGATTACATCAACCAATGTCTGTCTGTATGGGGTGACATTAAAGTTGTAACTTTAATAAGAAGAAATATATATTTAATTTACACAGTGAAGAATATGCAGTGTTTTTATACATTTTATTACTTTATACAATGTATGTAGCATTTCTTATTTATTTGTTCTACTGTAGTTTTATTGTTGTCCTATTGCTTGTAATTAGTTACTTATTCTTATTTAATCGCTGTCTGTTAACTTGTCTACAGTGAGCTTGATTTGATTTGATTTTTTTAATTTAGGCTAGTAGTAGTTTTTTTGTGATACTGACACTGGTGACAAGAATTATGAAATTTCTATAGTATCATATTTTTTATATCATAAAGACCTTATTTAAAGCAAAAATATCTATATCGTGATATATATTGTTAGTGTAAAAATAAAATTACTCATATTGTATTATAACATTTTGGTCATATCGCCCACCCCTATTGCATGTATGTGTATTTTTATTTATAGGTTATATATTTTCTTTACATATGAGCCCCTGTCCCTGAGAAACTCTCTGCACATTCCTGTATACATTTGATTAATTTTAATAACTTTAATGTACTTGAAGCGTGCATCAAACACTAGTCAGTTACACTCAATATTCAATGACTCGGATCAGATCAGGGGCACAAAAAACCTGATCGGGACATCCCTAGAAAAATGCCTTTTATGCTCACCAAAGATGCTTTTATTTGATCAGAAATATAGTAAGAACAGGAATATTGTGAAATATTACTACACTGTAAAATCCAATAGTTTACCTTACTTAGATATAATTAGTTATCTTTACTTAGTTGTTATACTTACTCGGTTTTATTAAGTAACAGCTAATTTTAAGGCGAATAAAACAACTTGCTAATGTGCAACAAAACAACAGAAGAAGAAATACGGAGGTTAGAGAGCATGCACAACAAGCAACGTGGTTTGCCAACCGGCAATAAAATTTAAAGAAGAAGAAGAAGAAGAACAAGCTACGTTTTTTTTTTATTTGTGCGCCAAATTTGCTGAGATTGCTTGCATTTTTACCACTGGACAAAGACTGATTACTTCTATACAATAATAATAAGTTAAGTTTAAAAAAATAATTGTCAATGTATCTTTCTGTGTGCTGCTAATTTTAACTGACTAACCTTGTCAGCAGTGTTAGCTAACAGATACCAAAGATCTTTGCTATTAGAGAAAAGACTGTAGAAATACAGAACTTGTGGCGTATTTTGGCGAATTTAAGACTTTTACTTTTCAAACTGAAAAATTTGTAGCTAGTTAAAAAATGAAAAGGCAGAGGTACAATTCAAGAACATGCCAAAAGTCCTCAAGATGAGCTCACAGTTATAGAATTATATTTAGGACAAGTGCTTGTGGCAGCTGTCTTCTCTGAACAGCAGTCTGGTGAACACCGGCCTCAGTACACTGAAGGTAAGATATTTAATTTGTAATCTCTTATACAGCAGTAGAGCAGTTTTTGACTCAATCATGTGCTACACTTTATTTACAATATTAAATTATTTTTCTAATAATTTCTTGCGGATGAAGTATACATGTAACCACTGCATTTCTTTTATTTTTTTCACAGATCTAAGAAAACACTTCACACCCTACAACCCCTAAAAATGTATGTTGCTACCTTAAATGTTTTCAATATTTTTTTATTATATTTAATAATAATATTTAAAATAAACCATGTCATTGACTTCTTTATTGACACTTTGACAAACATATTTGTACTGTAATCATTGAATGTCTTAAACTTGAACCCAGATTTGACAGCAGTGCACACCCATCTGAGGCCGACCTGTTTTACTTCATGATCACCCCACATACTTCTACAACTAACCCGCTTTGTAAGTTCTCATAGCTACACCTTAAAGAAGCACATCATTTTGGGGAAATTTCCTGTGTATTTGCTGGTAAATTACTTTTATAAAGATTAATGTTGATTATATACCTAGTTCAACAAAAAATGAAAATTATGCCACTTGATCTCCCTCCCGTCATTCCATCCCATAAAAAAGTGTGCATCTTCAAGACATGAACGACGATATTAACCCCAAAATTCTGACACCCAAGAAACCATAAAATAAATCCATATGAATGGAGCCGTGTAATCTACTTTTGGGCCAAACTGTTCAATGAATGTTAAGGAGCAATTTCAGTTATATTTCCACTTGAACTTGGTTAGGCATAGTCTGATCACAAACAATTCTTGATCTGGAATTATTAGCCGAACATGCTGAACCGTGCTGTAGAATGCCTGGAGGGACGACGCTGCTCAGGATTGTCATTTGTCTTTTGCTTAGCCAACAGTTTCTCTGTAGCTGGCCAAGCCTGCTATTTGAGCGAAGTAAACAAGTTAATATTAAATATTTATTACAATTTTACTCTTTCATAACGTGTGCTATTTACATCTAGGACCGTATTCTAACTCTTGCATTACTAAGGCAACAACTGACACATTTATGTTGCATTCCAAAGAGCTCTGTTAACAGCCCAACAGTGAAAAATTAAACCATATCCGTATCCGATCAGCACAAAATGGAATGGTTAAGCAACAAAAATGGTTTGGCCTGACGGTGGAAAAGCGGCTCAAATCTTTGGAAGAGACATGATTGCTATAAGATCAACTGTCTAATGTTTTGGGTAAATAGACAAATGTCTATCGGATTTAACTGAAAATGTCTTTATTTGTGTTCCAAAAATAAAAGTCATGTTTGAGTAAATTATCAAATAATTTTCAAGTTTGGGTGAACTAACCCAATGGCATGGTAGTGTAGGCAGGACAGATAACACTGACAACTTATCATCCATATTTCCCTACTAATATTGTTTTATTTGGTTTTATACAGGTGTCTGATGTTGATGCAGTCTGGGCACTATCTGTTGGGTTGCTGACTATCATTGAAGATGAAGTACTTCTCCAAATCTTCTCTGCCTTGACCCTGTGTCTTTTGCCATCATTGTTCAGGGTAGTACTGCAAAGAACAGTCTCCAGAATCTACCTCAGCCATTTGCTTTCGGACTGCCATGTGCTATGTTTGGATCACTGGTACAGTACATTTGGATTATCCTAATACTGTGAAGAACACTTACATTGTGATGCTTGACTTGGGACAGGGAAAAAAACAAAAAACCATTGGAAACATGCAGCCAACCCAGTGCCATACTTATTCATTGTACTGCTACCTCCACTGTTTACAAGAAGCATACCCTAAATCAGATTGTTTTTGCTTTGTTTCAAAATGTTTGTAATACAAGTTAAAACTGCGTAAATCAGATTGCTGTTTAAGTAACTACAACTTAGAAATTCCAAGTTGCAGGAAATGTTACACGAGTGGGCTCAACTTAAATAAAAGAGTTGTTTGAAATACGCACATAGTATATTGTACTTATTCATTTAGTTGTTGAAAATAGTGATTCTGAGTTACCAGAACTTGCGTGTAAGTTTACAACACTAAATAAACCTTTGTTATTACAAATTATTATTCTTATTTCACTTTACTTGGTTTTTTCAAGGCAATCGGTTAGCATGCTTTTTTTAAAGTAAGGTTTACTAATTGGAATTTACAGTGTACAATTTAAAATAACTGTTTTGTATTTGAATATATCTTAGAATGTAATTTATTTCTGTGATCAAAGCTGAATTATCAGCATCATTACTCCGGTCTTCAGTGTCAAATGATCCTTCAGAAATCATTCTAATATGCTGATTTGCTGCTTAACAAACATTTCTTATTATCAGCGTTGTAAACTTGATGCTTATTTTCAGGATTCTTTGATGAATCGAAAGAGCAGAATTTATGTGAAACTGATTACAACATTGATCAAATTAATGCATCATGTGCCACCCTGTTGAAAAAAACTGCATATGCTGGTTAGGTATGTTTTGAAGCATGGCAGCTGGTTTAAGATGGTTATGAGATGGTTTAAACTGGTCATGTGCTGGTCCCTAAGCAACTAGCTCCTGCTCAGGACCAGCTCAAGACCAGCTTAAACCAGCTGCCATGCTTCAAAGCATACCTAACCAGCATATGCTGTTGTTGTTTTTAACAGGGCAATTTGCTACATTGCTTGGCAACAGCAAACAGCTTACAGTTAGTATAGTGAATGAACATGGGTGTATTTTATTATACTACTTATGCTGCCAGCAATAAGGCCATACTTTAGTAATTTTACCACCACTAAAATATGTTTGCGTTAATTTTACTTAATGAAAGAAGTCTGAAGCGCTGTGGAGTTAAAGCAATGAGATGTTGTGAGCTTACCTGTTTTCTGAATATGAGCAGCACCTTTTGTTACAGCAGCAGTCTCACTCCTTCCAACCTTGTTTTCTGCAAAAACTCTGAAGGTGAATGTATTTCCCATCACAAGGTCAGAGACTGTAGCGTTCAGCCTGTGGAAGTGCTCCAGAACCGTAAACCACTCCTGCCAAAAACAGCAATCCTCTTAGTATTTTCTTTTAGCAGATATACTGTATGCATTTAAAAGGAGAGGACAGAATGATAGGATAGTGACAGGATGGAATGTTGGCTATTAATAAATTGTGAACGAGACTGAAATTATTTCCCTGTGGGTTTCATCCAATAAATAGATCGTAAACAAGCAGATTTTCATTACAGTGTTAAATATCAACAAGAACCAGTTGTGGTTTTGCCTAAAGTGCTTTTAGATGAAGTGTTTCTGTACTTCATGTTCTCTGCACATCTTGTATTCACATCAAGCTAGCTGTTTAGTATCATGATTCACATCATGACAGTGAGAGTTATGAGAAGTCATCATGCATCTGTCAGCACTTTACACCTTCCCAACCTGATGATCTCCCGCCAAGAAGTCATCTGACCCATGCCTCAAACACCCAGATACAAACTTATAGATAGACACGTCATGTCCATATACAATGTCTCAAGACTCTTCATTTAGTTTTACAAGCCTGACAGGTGGTTAAATTAAGCCTCGCTAAAGTATGACAGCAAAAAAAAGGCCTAGAGCATCACAGCATTCACTGCTTGCTGTCACTTATCACTTTGATAAGTTTTAAAGGGATAGTTCACCCAAAAATGAAAATTCTGTCATTAATTACTCACCCCCATGTCATTCCAAACCTGTAAGACCTTTGTTCATCTTTGGAACCCAAATTAAGATATTTCTGATGAAATACAAGAGTTTTCTGATCCTCCATAGACAGCAATGCAACTACCACGTTCAAGGCCCAGAAAGGTAGTAAGGACATCGTTAAAATAGTCCATGTGACATCAGTGGTTCAACTGTAATTTTAAGAAGATACAAGACTACTTTTTGTGCACAAAGAAAACAAAAATAACTTTATTCAACAATTTCTTCTCTTCCATGTCAGTCTTCAACGCTCTTTCGTGACAGCATGCGTGTGGTGCTGCTGACGTAGAACCGAGATGCACTGTGGCTTGTTTACAATCAGAGGAATGCACACGCATGTGTCATGGTACTCATGGTGTGAGCGCACATTGACTGACATGGAAGAGAAGAATTGTTGAATAATATCATTATTTTTGTTTTCTTTGCGCACAAAATAATCTCGTAACTTCTTAAAGGGGTCATCGGATGCCCATTTTCCACAAGTTGATATGATTCTTTAGGGTCTTAATGAAAATTCATTAAGAACATACTTTGGTTAAAATGTCTAAATTGTCTTGTAAAAAACACCCTTTTTACCATGTTAAAATCAGCTCTTTTCACAGCAACCCGTTTTGTTGCATTTCCCTTTAAATGCTAATGAGCTCTGCTCACTCCGCCCCTCTCTTCTGTTGGGTGACAAGCTGTCCTGTTTACTTTAAGTGCATTTAGCCAAGAAACTTGCTAACTAGCACATTATTAGGAAAGGCGATTTGCAAAGATTCATAAAAAACCCTTATATTCACTTCTTCTGTTGGTGAAGCTGGATCATGAATGATTCGCGCAAACATAGACACATTTAGGTAGATCGGGAGCGTATTCCCTTCAAAAACAAACATAATCACTGCGTCGTCAGCGGCTCAGATGTCGGGACTAAATGACGACTGCTATGTTCATTATTACATCCAACAACAGAACACCTCAATTGCTTAGGAGCCATTCTGGTCTACTCCTGCTCCAGCGTCGAAACAATGGAGGACTGTGTATAGCTCACTCAGGGCGGGTCTAAGGTAAGACAGCCGTGTCAATGAACTATCGTGGGAGGGGCCTGGGTCTGTGTGACCCAGGCTGCTTGATTTGAAAAAGGGGATAATATTTATAGAGATTTAAAAAATACCACTGGGTGGATTTTTATCATTTTATGGTGGTTGTGTACACACACTGCCAACACACATTTATGTTCAAACAACATGTAAAAGTGAGTTTGGCATCCGATGACCCCTTTAAAATTACGGTTGAGCCACTGACGTCAGATGGACTATTTTAATGATGTCCTTAATATGTTTCTGGGCCTTGAATGTGTCAATTGCATTGTTGTCTATCTTAATTTGTGGTCTGAAGAAGGTCTTACGGGTTTAGAACGACATGAGGGTGAGTAATTAATGACATAATTTTCATTTTTGGGTGAAAAATCCCTTTAAGGATGTGATTTAAGCTCTCAGAGCAAGCACACATTTGTTTGAAGTTTCCAGGAGCCAGTTGGTGAAGTTTGTCCAGTTTTTTATTTTCTTTTTTAACAAATGGTCAGTGTTAGTGCTTAACCTTCAGAAAATGTCAACCTTAGCACGTCAAAATCAATATTATATGTTGGCAATTGGCATGTATTTTCTATGCAACCCTGCAAATTACTAGTGAAATTTTAGTTAAACTTGTTTTTTTTTTGAGTGTGGGATACTGTTAAATATTACTCTGTTAAATTTACCCATTGTGAAATATGTGTGGGAAATACTCACTTGAAATACCTGATTGTGTGGATTCCTAACGAAAATTCAGAATTTTGCCCACAAAAATTGTATTAAATATTTCCAACCTTTAGAATAGTGAATTATAGGGCCTATTAGTTCGTTTATTTTATATAATTATTTTTTTTTTTTACTTATTTAAACAATTCCTCTTTTGATAACAAGAAACTTGTGCTAAAAGTTTTATAGAAAATGTGGGATACTGTTAAATATTATGTGTTTGTTAAATCAAATATTAACAGAAAAATAACACTTGTAAAATATAAGTGTCATATATTATATTATATTATATTATATATTGATAAAATTGTAAATATATCAAAATTGTGTCATTGTGTAATATGAAACAGACCATAATCTCCATTTGGGGGCAGGAATGCCAACATACGATGTGTTTAATTTCACACGATGTTCATTTTATTTTAGATACCAGTTTGTCAAATGTGCAATTTTTATCACCCTCAAATAAAACTGTTCCTTAAATAAAAAGGGAAGTGCTGTTCATTTTCTGAGTGAGGAACTAATACTGTACATGAAGTGCTGACACATATTTCTTGTTACTGGCAGTATTAGTGTGCCAGTAAGGAGTTACTTACTTCAGTTTTCTTGTCGGCCTTCTGAATGGTGTATCCAGTGATCTCAGTGTTGCCGTTGTCTTTGGGAGGGGTCCATTCCAGAGCTGCATTGAAGCCCCAAGAGTCAACTAGCTTGACAGAAGCAGGAGGACCGGGCAGATCTACACACAGATGGCCGAGCATTAAAAATGATTTAGCTTTCTTAGTATGGATCATTTTACACTGTGAGGTCTTACTCGGTAAACAGAGGTGTCAAGGTATGAACTAAGAATGAAAATGCAAGTAGGACACGGTCCGAGAAGAGCGCTGAAACGAATGGTCTCTAGATCATAGCGCGTCTCACCGACAATCTGAATTATGAGGTTAGCCTTGTCCTCGAAGCTGTCGACCTTCACGGTCATCTCATAGCTGCCGGAGTCTTCTCTCTCAGACTTGCGGATGAACAGGATGCTATCCTTGTCGGTGTTGCGGATGTTTGCCTTCTTTGTATCCAAAGGTTGGCCATCCTTGGTCCAAGATATCACAGGTTTAGGTTTGCCCTACAAAACAGAGAATTATGAAACATATTAGAGCCTGCAGTGAAAGTGCAGCTCTGTTTGCCATAGAAAAATCTGAATTTACAATGAACGGGATGACAAGATTGATCTGTTCTCCAACATGCTTGACGCATCTTGATCTCAGGACACGGGGCAGGCGGATCTTGGGCCGATCTAGGGAAAAAAGAGCAATTTTAGATGCACAAATTGCTTGTTTATTTAGATCATTATTTAGATTTAGATTAAGGTCTTATTTTGAAATGCATAAACTGTGAAATCACACAAACTTTTAAAAATGAACACTTTTCCTCAACTTTGAAATGCCACAACTTTAGGTTAATTCTAAATTGCTCACAGAATGTGCATATATAAAACATATGTTTAGCAAAAATTGTTTTAATGTGTAGGGTTGATATAGTTAACATACATACATAAAAATTTTTTTTTCCTGAACAAGAAAAAAAGAAAAAGTGATGCTCGTCCATGCATTACTCACTGCCACAATGTTAAGCTCAAAGTATACTTCAGTTTTATGTGTACGTTTGCATGTTGTAAATGTAATTATTAGCATAATATGTGAATTGTCTTGTTCTAATTGTCTCATCTTGTTTGCAGGGTCTAAAAAGAAATGGATGCAATGGAAAAACGCCAACTAAATGCAACAACAAAATATACTTGTGTTGATGAGTGCTTGTGTGAGGCGGTTAAGAGATAAGAGAAGTGTGAATACATTTTTATTGTTAATACCCTCCGGACAGAAATAGTGAAGATACTGGATAAAAATAAAACTTTCTAGCATGTGTGAACCGCCTGTGTTTGACACTATCAGCACTCTTAAAAATAAAGCTTCTTTATTGGCAGCTATGGTTTCATGAAGACCTTTTAACATCCATGGAACCGTTAGATTATTCAAATGTTCTTCACACTAAGACAAAAAAAAAGATTCTTTTAAAAGCCATTCACTGAAAGGTTCTTTGGTATAGCTGAGAAAGACCCCTTTTGGAACCTTTATTTCTAAGAGTGAAATAGAGATGACATACTTCAGTAGGCCATACCATGGAAATGAGTTACAGTAGCAGTTTAGCAAGTCAGTGTTTTTTTTAATGGGCTTTTTGTTAAATGCCTGAAATAAGTTTTGCATTTAAAACAAGCTGCAGATATTTTCACTTTTTTTGTGACATGAAAGTCAAGATTAATATCCCACTGATTTTTTTCAAAGCTTTCATTTGTCTTGAAAAAACAGTTGTTTCTAACAAGTGTCTAAATCTACTCACTAGTTTGCTTTTACTGCCTCATTTTGATTATAATTACACTTTTGCAAACTATTCTAATTCAAACTTTGAGGAATTTTTGTTGTTGCTGTTAATAAAGACTGAAAGTTATCAGAAGCTTAATGTTGGTGACAGTGAAGTCATGTGAATGCGGTGTTTGTTTATAGCCTATATGTTAGCTTTTTAGGCCTAAGGTTTTTTCAAATTCATAATAGTCCTGGTGATATGTGCAAAATTTGAGGTGATATGTTCACTTTTTCATAAAAGCATGAAACTTGGTACAATTGTATAGGTTAGGGCCCTGAACATTTTCAGAAATGGTGCCATCGCAAAAACACCTCGTGGTTGCCATGGTGACCATTTTACTTTCCGCCATAACCAAATTAATTAATTAGTAATTAAAGGGGTCATATTATGCTATTTTAAAGATCATTATTTTGTGTATCTGGTGTAACAGAATATGTTGACATGCTTTAATGTTCCAAAAACACATTATTTTTCAAATACTGTACATTATTTTAGGCCCTCTAAAAGAATATCTCTTTGGATTTGAGACTTTAGTCTTTGCAACTTTACAGATCTTCTTTATGCACCAAGAGCTTGTAACACTCCAAAGAGAAAGGAAAACTTGAAATCACATCATATGACCCTTTTAATTTGTTACATTTTTATAGCACTTTTCTGGGTACTCAAAGCGCTTTACATAGAAATCTCCTCAACCACCACCAATGTGCCGCATCACCAATGTACTAGATTTCTCTAATACAAAAAAATTAAGTAGGCTTGACCAAAATTTTTGTGGGGAGAATAATTTATTGAAGATGGTAGCTGTCCTTCAATAGCAATGTTTTGCATGTCTTTCTTCAAACAGTCTTAACCCTTGTATGAATCCTAGCTTCTCCCAAAGTTCTGTCTGTGAGATAGATTTTTATACCTAAAGATACAAAAGGGCTAGAAACAAGAGATACTGTTAGGGCCTTCCAGCGGGAGATCCTGCAATCTACAAGGCGTTCCTGAGGAATGCTGTTCCTTTGTTATTCCAATGGATTGGATCATTTGGTTCACACCTTTATAGACACAGTTAAATTATTTCTTTCACAAAATGACCAACTGAACGTTAACCAATCAGGTTTCATCAGTGGCCATTCAACTGAGACTGCTTTACTGTCGGTCAGAATAGCCCTGCAGATTGCGAAAACTGATTCCAAATCATCAGTTCTTATTCTGCTGGATCTCTCTGCCACTTTTGACACTGTGAATCATCAGATTATCCTGTCTGCCATGACAGGATCTGCACTCCACTGGTTTGAATCTTATCTCACAGTTAGGTCTTTCAGGGTTTCCTGGGGAGGAGAGGTATCCAAAGAACATCAACTGGCCACAGGGTTTCCGCAGGGATCAATTCTTGAACCCCTCCTCTTCACCATATATACAACATCTCTGGGACCCATTATACAAGCACATGGTTTCTCCTACCATTGCTATGCTGATGACACACAGCTCTATCATTCATTTCAACCGGACAATCCAATAGTAGCTGCACGGCTCTCAAACTGCCTGGCAAACATCACGGCATGGATGAAGGAACATCACATGCAGCTCAACCTGGCAAAGACTGAGCTTCTTGTTTTCCCTGCCACTCCGACTCTACAGCATGATTTCATCATCCTGCTAGGTTCATTAAAAATTATTCTTTGGTGACCAGTTGACTTTCAAGGACCATATTGTAAAAACAAGTTCGATCATGCAGGTTTGCATTGCACAACATCAGGAGGATCAGGCTCTTCCAAACAGAGCATGCTGCACAACTTCTTGCCCAGGCCCTTGACATTTCTACACGGTAAAATAATATATATATATATATATATAAATAACTGGATAAATCCAGCATGTCCGTAAATGAAACACTTTCAATTTTCACTTGCTCTCCCTGAACAACCATGTGTTAGCCAGCACTGTGCCATTGACCTCTCTGATCTAAATCTCTATTGGCTGTTCTCTCACAAATCTAGCCCTCCAGACCTCTAATCCTCACTTCCCAGGACTCCAAGCAACAAGTTCATTGATTATGACAGGAAACATTTGACACCTGTGGAGCAACACGCATTGCTGATCCAGAGCAACTGCTGACCTGCTGACACACTGCTTGATGGGACTCTGAGCGCTCAGTTGGCTTTGAAGGTTCACATTCAGCTCACCTTCAGCTTACCTTACAATACCTGACCCAATTACCCCAAAGCCTGTGCTTGTGCGTGTGAAAAACCTCATCCTTGTTCTTCAAATCCTTTTTACACTCACTGTTCTCATATGTAATCCTGTGTGATGTCTTGAATCACTGCCATCCACCACAACATTCACCTGCTAAACCCAAATGGATGGACAGTCTGGTCTCTTTGATTCTCTAAGCCAAAAGCCAGGCTTGTTTGACCTCATAACAGCATTACATAGCAAGAATGAGTTGATTCCAGGCTCTTATTTGGGTTATTATTTATAAGATAAAGAAAGATGTTTGGTTAAAATGGTCCTAGGATAACAGTGGCTTGTAGATGCACAGCACAATTGACCAGGAAAACATACTGTATACACACATTTGTACACACACACACACACACACACGCATATTAGTGCCGTCAAATGATTAATCGCGATTAATCGCATCCAAAATAAAAGCTTTTGTTTACATAATAAATGAGTGTGTACTGTGTATTTTTATTATGCATATATAAATACAAACACATGCATGTATATATTTAAGAAAAATATGTAATGTTTATATATTAAATATATTTATATATGATATAAAATATAATATTCTAAATATATACATGTAAATATTTTCAAAATATATACTGTATGAGTGTATTTATATATACATAATAAATAAACATAGTACACACACACAAATTATGTAAACAAAGACTTTTATTTTGAATGTGATTAATCGCAATTAATTGTTTGACAGTACTACTATATATATCTATATATATTATCAAGATATATAAGATAGATGACTTACCTAATCATTTGAAAATGTCAAGTTCACAAAAATATATTTATATTCAATACATTTGTTTACATTTAGTACAATTATTATAGATACATTCATTTATTTAAAATTCTTTATTATATATTTCAAAATTATATTTAATAACATAAAAATAATAAAATATTTAAAATTATTTCATAATGAAAATATAAACTTATAAGTGTAGATTTAACTACATTTTAAGGACCAGTTAAACATCAAATATGAATTCCCCAACACACTAGTGGTGATGTCAGTATACATCCACAAATCTAAATGTGGGGTGTGCAGATACGGTGACAGTTGGTTGAAAGCATCCCTTCCTAATAGGGAGACCTGGAGGAGCTAGCTATAAATCAGTCTGTGGTGACATCTCAAAGACAGGTGCTATAACAGACTGTCATATAACCCACTTTTCTGATGACATCTGATAGTTCAACATGGTTCAATTTCAAGAAGAAGGCACGATGATTGAAACACTATCCCTCAGCCTAAAGAGCTTATCAGCAATACTGAGAGAATATACGCACATCCTTCCTTGCAGTATTCCACGGTATATCCATCCAGCCCAGAGCCAATATTCTCCGGGGATCTCCACTTAAGAGTGACTGAGGTGTCATTGACATCATCCACACTGAGGTTCTGAGGGGCACTTGTGGGCACTGCACATTCATTAGAGACATATATACAATGAATTCATAGCAGAAAAACACATGCATTTCTTTAGTATTGAAAATATTAAAAGAAGGATATGATGGATGAATGGATAGATTTATTGATTGGGTAGATGGATGGATTGATAGAGCAGATGAATGGATGAATAGGTGGGGTGGATTAGGAGGATTTGGTGGATGGGTGTGTGGATGAATGGGTGATTGGGTGGATTTGTGGATGGATGGGTTGTTTGGGCTGATGGATGGATGGATGGGTGGGTAGATTGGGTAGATGGAAGGATGATTGGGCAGATTCGATGGATGTATGGATAGATAGAGTAATTGATTGATTTATTGTTTGGGTAGGTGGATGGATTGATAGGACAGATGAATGGATGAATAGGTGGGGTCAATTTTGTGGATGGATTGATTGGGCGAATGGATGGATGGGTAAGTGAGATTGGGTGGATGGATGGGGATGGATGGATTGAGTGGATGGATTGATTGGGTGGATTTAGTGGATGTGTGCGTGGATGGATGGATGATTGGGTAGATTCATGGATGGGGTGAACTGATTGGGTGGATGGATGGATGAATAGGTGGGGTCAATATTATGGATGGATTGAGCAGATGGATTGATTGGGCTAATGGATGGATGGGTAGGTGAGATTGGGTGGATGGATGGGGATGGATGATTGGGTGGATTTGGTGGATGTGTGCATGGATGGACGGATGATTGGGTGGATTTGTGGATAGGTGGATTGATTGGGTGGATGGATGAATAGGTGGGGTTCATTTTGTAGATGGATTGATTGGCCGAATAGATGGATGGGTAGCTGAGATTGGGTTGATGGATGGTTTGGGTGGATGGATTGATTGGGTGGATTTCGTTTTTTGGGGGGGGAATGGACGGATGATTGGGTAGATTCATGGATGGGTCAATTTTACGGATGGATTGAGCAGATGAATTGATTGGGCTAATGGATGGATGGGTAGATGAGATTGGGTTGATGGATGGGGATGGATGGTTTGGGTGGATTTGTGCATGGAATAGACGGATGATTGAGATAATTTGTGGATAGGTGGATTGATTAGGTGGATGGATGGTTAAGTAAGGTTGGGTGGATGGATGGATTGATTGGGTGGATTCATGGATGGATAGATGAATGGGTGGATAGATTGGGTGGGTGGATGGATGAATGGGTAGATTTGGTGGATGATTGATTGACTGAGGGGATGGATGTATGTATTGATTGATTGATTGACTGGGTGGGTGTGGGGATTTATGGGTGGAAGGCTGAATAGGATGGAGGGATGGATGGATGCTTGGGTGGGTGGTTGATTGGACGAATTTGGTGGATGAATGGTTTACCTGCTGTAGGTGGTGGTGTTGGTGCTTTAGGTGGCTCTTCTACAGGTGCAGCTTCAGCAGGAGCAGCTGATGAACAAATATGCAGGAATATTAGGATTCAGAGTTCTGAAGGGTGTATCTCACATTATAAAGCATCTGGATCCAAACTGAAATGGAATAATTAAAACTCATGACCAAACCAAAACGATTTACCCTCAGCTGGAGCATCAGTGGAGGGATCAGCTACCTCAGCAGGGCCTGATAGCAAATCATTAGACTTCCATTAGCGCAGTGCCACTCCGGAGATATCGCTAGATTAGTACTGTTTAGAATAAGCGTTTTTTTTTTTTTTAGTAATAGTAGTTTATGGAGCATATATATATATATATATATATATATATATATACTTATTTACCTTAACCTAACATAACCTCCCCCTCATGCGGTGGTCACACTGGTTTCCTCAGCAGCAACTAAAGACGTTAATGAAAAGTCAGGTGAAAAGACATGCCATTTCATTTCAGCATGCAGTGAGACATGCTCATCAACCACAGCCTGTTCTAGTATTGGCTGACAGCACACATTGTTGGTGATCAGTGGTTTTTGCACTCAGCAGGCCACCAGTTTACTGAAGATGCAACATTTGCTCCAATAGATGACTGCTGGATGAATCAGTCTTTGTAAAATGATGAAATCTGAACAATGTTAAGGTGTCAAAAAAAAGAGATCAAACTAAATGCAGAAGGGGAGAGGAGTTCGTTTTGACCTTGAGATGTGGGTTAATGTAAAATGTTTAATTTAAATATGATTTACATATTGTACAAGTGAGATGATAAAATGCTATTTGTACTTTTATGCAAAACCTAAATCATTTCAACAGGGTAATAGTCATTCATATAGTCTATGCTGAGGTTTCGTCTTAAGGGGCAGCAGTTTAACCCTGAGCAGCAGAGGCAGAGGATAGTGTTACATGTTAAATAAATGTTAGAAGATGTTAGGTACATGTTAGAGGAAGGTATAAATTACAATGCTGCTGTAAGACAAGGCTCAAGGATCAAATCACAGGTGCTTCCTGTTTAAATCATTTGCTTCTGAGGAAACTCTGGGCTTAGACTCATATTAGGGAAACTTCAACACACATCTATAATAATTAGTATATTTAGTTTTGTGACAGTTCAGGCTATCTATTATAAGTAATTATTGTAATGCCGACACCCAAGTTATCTTTTTACAAGAACTTATCTTCTAGCATTATGTGGATGTTTAGAAAATTCAGTTTTCCTTAATCAAAAAAAAAAAACAGCTGCACAAAAAGGACATATTTGAATCATATAGCCTTAGTCTCTGCCAAAAATGATAGGTTTAATACTGTATATGCTACTATAATAAAACTTTAGTATTTTGATATACTATTAGACACTAAAGTGTTGACACTAGTAAGTAAATTCATAAATATATACTACTACTAGCTACCAGGAAGAAAAATCAACATTTATTTTATAGAATGTTATTCATTATATATTATTCATTACCATTTTCCAGCAGCTAAACGGTATATATATATATATAGGTACACACACACAAAATATATATAGACACACACACACAAAATAAAATCTAAAAATAAAAACTGATTGTTGAATGAGAATAAAACTTTAATAGTAGGCAGTGAACAATCAACAGCATTGGTAAATAACACTCTAAAGTAACTAGTAACTTTGATGATTTTGGTCATTAGAGGGCGTGTGTGAGTCCTCGACAGAACTGATGATACTTTTATTCTTTTATTAAAATAACAGCTGATCGACGTCCATGAACAAAATCATTTTGGGACGTTAAGGTGAGTAGAAATTTTAAGGTTTACATGAATTGTTCGTTTAAATGAGATGTTGTTAGGGTTAGGCACACTTTGAGGTATGTGTTGTTTAAATAAAGAGCAGCGTTCAGATGCGTGGAGTACCTTCAGGAGCAGGTGCCTCTGCAGCGGGAGCGGTTTCCGCCACGGCCGCTTCAGCGGGAGGAGCCTCGGCGAATCCCAGTGGGACAGGTAGGTCCAATGTGTTTTTCCCAGACAAACAATGGTGATACACATCAACATTAAAACAGCATCAAACCTGCACATTAGCTTACCATTGTTATCTGTCATTGGTACGGACAACTCAACTCTACAATGTTATTCCAACGCTGCATAGTGACAAATCAATCTGTTTTGATAAACAATATTGAACCCGTTTAATCTAAAACAGGTGGGGAAAAACACAAGTTTACAAAGCACAGGTTTTGTATTATTATTGTGCCTGCTTGAACATTCAGCGTTGTTAGTCATAAAATAATTAATAAATTAATCGAAACTTAGATAGACACTCCATTTTAGGTTGTCTAGACTGTATCAGTTCATATGCAAGACAGCAGATATGATAAAGCACGCTGTACTACGATGGCAAATATATCTGTGAGACGAGAAGAGACGGTGGGAAATGGCTTTAGTTCGTGCTAGCTGGCAAAGCAGCCACACATTTCCAGGACATCTGGAAACGAGACTACCGGCGAGCTCAAATCTCAATGTTATTTATAAGCTAGCATAAAAAAGGATAACACGTTCGCTCGCATTCTTATCCTCCACAGCAAACAATCCCTTGCAAAACATAATAGTTTAGGTATTGCAATGTCCAACGAGTTGGCTTATATTAGGCACATTTTCATGACAAACACCGGGGAATCTTCCCCAAAGCCCCAAACTATCTTAAAGCGATTAAGGGAAGTTTATGATCATACGATGAGCTGTTAAGACAGATTTTGGGGTACTTGTGTGATTTGAAGCACCACTGCCACTTATTTTTTATTGTTTTTTATGGGTTGTTATGGCCAACTCAATCGTAAAAGCCATTCGATACCTTGTACGATCCGGAAGAGAATACAGAGGACACTTTTATAGTGAATAACGTACATAGGCAACATGATCTAGTTACTTTGTGGCAGTTAACTTGCCTCTACAGGAAAGGTGATAACTGAGAGATGACCGCGATCCTCGCTGTAATGTATATCTAAACAGACACATTCAGTTTATACAGTAGTTGTTATATTTTATCCTTGCTCTGTTTGTTCTACAATAGACCTTTTTTGTTTGCTTTTTTTTTTTTCACAGCAAACAATCCCTTGCAAAACATAATAGTTTAGGTATTGCAATGTCCAACGAGTTGGCTTATATTAGGCACATTTTCATGACAAACACCGGGGAATCTTCCCCAAAGCCCCAAACTATCTTAAAGCGATTAAGGGAAGTTTATGATCATACGATGAGCTGTTAAGACAGATTTTGGGGTACTTGTGTGATTTGAAGCACCGCTGCCACTTATTTTTTATTGTTTTTTATGGGTTGTTATGGCCAACTCAATCGTAAAAGCCATTCAATACCTTGTACGATCCGGAAGAGAATACAGAGGACACTTTTATAGTGAATAACGTACATAGGCAACATGATCTAGTTACTTTGTGGCAGTTAACTTGCCTCTACAGGAAAGGTGATAACTGAGAGATGACCGCGATCCTCGCTGTAATGTATATCTAAACAGACACATTCAGTTTATACAGTAGTTGTTATATTTTATCCTTGCTCTGTTTGTTCTACAATAGACCTTTTTTGTTTGCTTTTTTTTTTTTTGGCAATTTTTTTTTGAAAATCTATTTACAAATGTCAGACTCAGATCCTTTAGTAAAAAAAAAAAACATAGAAAAAAGACCTTAAAAAATGCTCCTCTGGTTATTCATTTGGAGAGCTACGTCTGACAGTAACAGGACACTTAAACACGAGCACAAGAGTCAGCAAGCATCATCTAGAGCACTAGGTATGTTGGCAAACTGAAGTTTTGATCCAATTTACATTCTCAGATTACGTTTCATCTGACATTGGTATAGCGCTAGTACTAATCGGTTAGTACATGCACAAGAGAAATTCAGTTTAAATTTGGTAATTTATGAAAAAGATCACTTTGCTCTTGTAGACTGGTTGCCAACACATCCTTTGGCGTCTCATGGTAAGGTGCCTTTTTTAGCTATAATTTTCCTCAGTTAAAGCTTTCATGCACATACAGTTCTGGAGCACCTGTAATCATCCAATAGCAAACGCATTAATGAGTTACAATCCACCATTGATATTTTTTAGGCTGTGTTGAATTGCAAGATATTCTATTATTACAATTGTTACTGGAATGATTTGAGAGTTTGTAAAAGACCCTGATATGGGGTCATCCTGTGATTTAAAATGACCAGAAATAATAATAATAAAAAAAACAATTACGCATTTCCAAAACTGGCTACATTGTTCTACAGAAGACCAAAAGACAGAAGTGTGTGTAAAACCATGAGCTAACACTGATGTGATTTAGCTTTGAAACTCTAGACATAACAAAGGCCAAACATAAATTGCTAAACCTCCTCCAGACATAACAAATTGTTTAAACCATTTTGGCTTTGTTCACACTGCAAACAATCCTGATTTGTTTTCGAAACCAATCTAACTACATCTTATTTTGCAGCAGCTCAAATTGGCTTCATTTGTTCAGGCAGTGGAGCCAATATCCAGTATATTTACAGCCCTGTTTCCACCTTGTGTTAATATGCATTTTTGATGATCCGATCACAAGTGTTAGGCACTAAATGCAAGTGTAAACATGGTCTAAAACGGTGATCGGATCACTGAAACCGCATACAGAGGAAATCAAAAATGTTTTTACACATTAATAATATGAATCCTCATTTTGCTCCGAACTGAAGTGAAGCATCACCTTCTTGCCACCTGCTCAACTAACACTTGATTGTTCTGGGACGTGTTGAGAGAAAGTGCACCAAAATAAGTCATTCAAACTTCGTGGTGTTGGCAATCTGTATCTTTTTCATTTGCTTACATTCCTGCTCGCTCATAAGCTGCACAACATGGTTTCCTTCATTTAATAGTATTTGTGTGCCACACTTGGGACTCTTGCAAAAAAGATGTTGAGTATCCCAAAATAAAAGGGGAGTTTCTCAACAAAATCCAAAAACAAGAGATGCATTTGAAACACGTTAATGCCAGGTGGAAACAGGCCCTACATTAGTTGCTACATTAGCACAAAGCCAAGTGAATTGGGTTTGGGGTGTCAGTGAGAACAAAGCCTTTGGTTATCTTGATGATCAATGAGCACCTTGGGTACTGGAGCTAAAGTTGAAAGTATACTTCACTTGTCCATGTTTCGCTCTGGCTCGCACAGTCCATGTTAAGCAATTCTTGTCTGTGCACAACATCCGTGTGCAGCCCGTTTTTTTGTGTTTGCATGCCATGGACTTGTGCATGGACAACAGCGATTGCGCAAGAGATTTGAGTGCTTGAAGGCTTACTAGAACATGCTCACGGTCACAACGCTCAAGTTTACTTTGAAGGGCTTGGATGCTCAATGGTGTGGAAACATGGAAAATGAAGTATATCAGTACCTTAAGGTCAAAAGCACTATCACATAAACGATTACTGAAAGTAAGATGTTGCATACTGTTCCCATGCACCGGTAACAGCACCTTTGTTATAACTGACAGCTATTTATTTGCCTGAGGTCGCCCTCCGACTGTATCAGGCGGTGGATCACATGAACCCTACTGCAGTCATTCCCAGCTTTGCTGCATTTCCAAGTGTCACCTTAATCCAGCAACTTTTTTCAACAATATCAGGCGGCAGATCACATGACGTTTGCATATAATTGAACTTGATGAGTCTCTATTACTCATGTCGCCTCAAACTCTCACAAATTCTGGTTGTTTTGTTGCTGCAACTCACCACTGGAGCGAACAACATACGAGTCTTGAACAACCAGTCAGTGCTCTTGATTGAAAGCTACGAATCAAAGTGCATCCTCTACAGTCTACATCTGTCTGATGTCTGCATGTTTGATAGGAATGAATGCAACCTGGCTATGGGTATGTACTGCACCTTATAACTGCATCACTATGCAAACTGTGAGGTAATATAGAGTAATATTCTGATTGCTATGGAACTGATTTTATGATATATGGAGGGACATAATTTAAGGCTGAATTCTAAGCACCATCTTGTAAATTACATTTTGCATCCATGCGAGATGGTCTGAATGTAACTGCACCTTTGTGTACATGGTTCAGGCGACTTGATCTTGAGGATGGAGTGTTGGTACTTTTGCAAACAAGAATAAATAGATTGTTGGTCCATATGGTCAAAAGTAATATCAAACAACTGTGGAGCACATTTTGTTCCCAGTATGATAGACAAGAACATTTCATCTTCACAATCGTCCAATCTTCACAATCCCCAGTTGCAAGTATTGCCATGCCACTTGCAGGTTAAATAAGCAAAGGAAGGACCGGTTAAGACAACAGTGCAAAAAATATTCTCGCATAGATCTGGCAGGATCAGTTCTTCTGTTTTTCTTTCAGACTTAGAGTTTTGTCTGCCTTGACATGGTTGTTCTTGAGCGTTTCTCTTCTCGACTCTCAGAAGCCTTTTGAAGGAGACAGGAGGTGCAAATCAGCTGTACAGAACAGTGTTTTGTAACAGCACTAGCCATTAGTAAAGCTCTCAAGTCTTTTAGCTCAGCCTAGAAAGTGGGGTTGCCAGAAATGTCCCGTTCGGGTGATTCTATGTAGTTGGCAGACTCCTGGAGTTTCAGCAGCATCGCCATCTGAATGAGGAAGAGAACAAGGACAGCTTGTCACAACACATGCAGATTTGTTCACAAAGGTTCAGGTGTAGTTGCACTAGACACTCACCAGTGGATCGGACTCCATTGTGGACAGAGACGTCTCCTTGTTGGACGTGACCCTGTCGTCACTCGGCTGCTGTGTTGGAACAGAATTGGAGCCAGGGGTTGGCGGAGGGAGGTGAAAGAGTTTGGCCTGGTCCTGTTGAGCTGAAGGCCAGGGCAGCGTATCCCTCACCCACTCCACTGGATCCTCCCATGCTGATTTCTGACCATGGACCTGAAATATATCAATGCAGAGATTGAGCTTCAAGGCTCCACTGCACTTCGAGAAGACACAGTAAGTGTCATATGATCCAACAAAACGCAACTCTTTTAGCAACAGATGAACTCTGTTCTAAAACCTAGTGAGTTGCCTCATTTTGGCCAAGATGTAAAAGCCACAACATACCAAGCCGACTTCAAAGAACTAATGGCAATTAATGGGGTCCTATTATGCTTTTTCATTTTTTTTATTTTAGTCAGTGTGTAGTGTGTATGTTTGGGCATTAAAAAGATGTAGAAAGTTACAAATCTCACAGTCCACTCCAAAGGGAGATATTTCGTTTTTTTAAAAATCCCTTTTCAGGGGTACGTGAGGACTGCAATTGAGAAACGCTGGTCTAGAACAATTCTTACAAGTACAACACGACGTAGCTGGGCGCCGCCAGTGTGCCTACACTCATAGAAAATAATGTGTTTGAATTTTAAAGACGTGGCGTGACGCTGTGCTTCTCGTCCGGTGCCCAAACGTCTTTGTTTGGGCTTCCGAAAGCGGATGATCTCAGGAAACAGTGGTTGCAATTTATTTTTTAACTCTGTTCCTGAGCATTATAACCCCAATTTGCTATTGTGTGCTGCGCATTTTACTGAGGACAGCTTAACACGAGTGAGTAGTGCCGGATTTGTCAAAAGCTTTTGTTGAAAGTCGGAGCAAGGGGCGTGGCAGTAATGAAACACCGTCTAAGCTGTTCGCCAATCACAACACACTGGGACAGCAAACCAATCACAACACATTTTGTTTTTCGGAAGGTGGACCTTCATCAAAGCTGGAACTAATCGAGCCGTTTGTGGCAGGCTGGGGAGAAAGGTATTTTAATAATGTAAATTATGTGAAAAATAATGTGTTTTTCAAACCACCAAGCATGAGAGCATGTTCTAGTACACCCCCAAAAAAAACAAAATCAAGACTTTGTAAAAGAGCATAATAGGACCCCTTTAAAGTCAACGTTGTTGTCACTTCGCATCAGCTGTGGCTGGACCAAAAAGCTATGCTTCAACACACCGCACAGACTACACCTGCATGTAAGGAGTTAACTGTCTATACACTGTCTATACAAACTCACTGATGGCCATGGCGCCGATTCAACATGTTGAATTGGGCAAAATGTCGCTGATGTGAGCCTGATGAGAGCCGACGTGTGGAATACACCAAAAAACTAGTCCCATAGATGCTCACCAGTGGCCTTACGTTGGCTGATGGCCAGCTTGGTGTGTCCTGGCCTTAAGGCAGAATAAACTCTGAAACCAGCCTAAAATGTTTTACTGGTGTCCCAGAACCCCTGTAGTAACAAAAAAACACATAAGCCTGACCAGGCTAAGCACACCAGTGCTTGATCTGCAAACTAGCTTAAACAGTATTTTTCACCAAGGATACAAGCTCAGTAAAGGAAGACAGAGAAAACTTAGAAAACCATGATGTAGATGGATAAATAAGGTTAATTAGAAATCATTACCAAAAAGCATACAGTTGTTAGCTTAGAAGCTGTTGAAATCAATTGGGAGTGTAAGTTGAGTCTCTTGCACTTTCTGTATGGTGCACAAGAGTAACCATCAAGAGAGTTGCTTATGATGTGTGTTTCAATTTGGTCACTTATGAGGAGGACCATCTTCAGTGTTAATTTCGTCAACGAAAACGATGACGAAAAATATTCGTTAACGGACATTTTTTCTGTGACTAAGACGAGACGTTGACAAGCTAAAACTAATATCTGATGATAAAAACTATGACGAAATTAATGCAGCGTCTTCCTTAACAAGACGAGACGGGACTATAATGTTATTTGAGGACTACTGGACATTCAAAATACATCCTATAGGCTACTGTCTTGTCCTTCAAAATGTCATTGGATTGAAATCTTATAAGGGGCGTTTGCATATCTAGTCTCAGTATGGCAGCTGCAGTGGACGGATAGGCTACCAAAATGCGAACTAGCGATCTGAAACAATGGCCTCAGCACCCGAAGGGGTAGGGATAAGGTGACCAGACGTCCCGTTTTTCCTGGGAGTCACAATTCGTTGTCGATTAACTTAAAGTTAGTGAAGTCCGGTGAAGATAGGTGGAATCGTGCTGATAGAAGCGGTCATATATACAGCGCACGATCAGTTCTCAGTGCTCAAATACACACACAGCAGTCCAAATGTCTATCGTGTAGAGCAGGGTTCCTCAAATCTTGCCCTGGAGGGCCAATGCACTGCAGAGTTTAGCTCCAACCCTGATCAAACTCACCTACCTGTGATTTTCGAATGATCCTGAAGATATTGATTAGCATGCTCAGATGTGTTTGATTAGGGTTAGAGCTAAACTCTGCAGGAAAGTGGATCTCGTGGGCAAGATTTGAGGATCCCTGGTGTAGAGTATCTCACGTAAATACAGTCGGTTATGGATTAAGTGAACGTAAACAGATGGGTGAAAACTGAACGTGTGTCAGTATTACATGCATGCCTTCCATCTTAAAGGGACAGCATTCCTAATTAAGTACCTACCTGTGTCATTAATGTTAACCAACAAAAGATGTTAAATAAATATGTTAAGTAAACCTACTGTATCTGAAAAATGAGTTTAATTTGTATCTCTTTTGTATTTGTCTTATCTTATTCTGCTTTTTTCAAAAATTATAAATTATATATATTATATATGAACAACTATAATTTTTATAAGTTGCTCCCTTTTCACTGCTGTTAAAGGGATAGTTCACCCACAAATGAAAATTGTCATAATTTATTCAAGTTTTTCCAAATTCAATCCTTGATTCAAATTTTTCATAAGCTTAATTGATTTGGTCTAAAGATAGAAGAATTAATGACTAATTTTATTTGAAGACTACATATAAAATAGCTACCAAAATAAATGTTGGTAACTGCAGTTTGAGTAAAAGTTGACAAAAATGCAATGACTTTTTGTCGTCTAAAACTAGACTAAAACTATGTAAGACTCAAATGACTAAAATGTGACTAAGACTATTAAGCATTTTCGTCTCAAAATAAAGACTAAGACTAAATAAAAAATGCCTGTCAAAATTAACACGGACCATCTTACTGCATAATCTAGCTCCAAAACACCTACAGTTTCTAGTAATCCAGAAGAGCTTGAAGTGTTTAGTTAGTGTTGGAGCTGAACTCTGCTGGATGGTGGCCATCCATGAGCAGGGTTAGACATCCCTGCTTCTGTTGTCAGATGCCTATGAGCAGCTTACCTTCACACCATCCTTAGCTCCCTCCTGAAGATACGGAATAATGGACTGGTTCCAGAGGTCAATAAACCAGAAGCGAAACTCTGCTAATGATACTGGGCAAGACAAGAAGAAGCAGGGACCTGCAAAGACAGGAGCCGAAACTTAAGTTGCTGTAGGATATAACCTAACCTTTGAAAGGTTGCTCGGATTAATTTGCTAATATAAATGGTTAAATATGTTTTTCTTTTGTTTCCTGAAGAGCACTGTGTAAAACACACATTCAGAACATGTAAAGCTGTACCTATGAGGAAGTCAGAGGTGCTGTGTTTCTCCAGGAAGGTATGGAGATGGTACCAGAGTTTAGGCACCCAGTCCAGAACCCTCAGCACCTCAGCGCTGTGAACTGTGCTTTCATCCTCCGTTTCGATCAACTTCCTGTGCAAGTAACGCACTAGGAAACCATTTGCAGGCTCCACGTTGTTGGAGAAGGTGACCATTCTTCAGGCAAACAGATAATTACAAATGGTTAGAATACTGATATGGGATTTCAATTTTTTTTTTGCAGATTTTATGTTGTCTTACCAGAATCTACAAACTTGAATGAAACAGTGCTAAAGGAATGAGGAACTTACCTGAAGCTGAGATGCAGGCCATGATTGGATGGCATCTTAACAGACTGATTGGTGGTTCCAATGATGTAAGGACTAAAAAAAAATAACCAATGTATAAAATATAATATCCAAGAAAAATACTTCCCAAGAAAATGTAATTTTGAAAATGAAATCATTATCAAAATCACCTACTGACTTTTGATCATATGTCTGCTATTAAATATCATCAGCAATGACGGTATTATTTGCATACTAAAACATTATTATATTTTTTTGCATACTACATTATGATTTTAAAATTACGACCTTCCTTTTTTGCATATATTTAAAATTTTTTAGCTGTCTTTACACCACAGAATGAGATCTCACCCTGAAAGCTGTGGAGATGTCTGTGTCTATCATAGACCATTCAGTTTTCCCACGAATCCTCAGAGAGCCGATGTAGAAATCCTGCTGCCTCACCTGCTGATTGTACACCAGTTGGCTTATTTAGTGCATATGATCTAATGTTGATGTATGTAAAGCCATTTGCAATATGTTTTCACGCATTCACCTCTCTGGACACTTGCTGGTCAGCTATACGGACCACCACACGCGTAAAGACCTCATTCCTCTGAGATGACAGGCTCAGTAACTCCATAGGAGCAATGTCTGCTTGACAGAAATAATTATTTGACTCAATCCGCCAGTGACATTTCTAGATTAGTAATGGGAAGCAATGCTTGAAGCGAACTAGTTTGTATCATAGACTGTATAAAAACATGGACGTAGTGTCCGTGACGTCACCCGTAGGTTTCTGAAGAGCGTTTTTGAAGCTCAAAGTGGGCGGAGCCGGCCGTCGCCATCTTGGCAGCGCGTCACCATGCGTCACTCCCGGATAATCAAAAATGGGCAAAGAGGCGGGAGCTGGTTGCTGAAACCACGCCCACCTAGCTCAACGGTGGTGACAGCAGCGGCAATCCGCCTGCCACTCAAGTGGCCACGCCCTTAATTATGCAGAACTTTAAGGCTTAATATAATTTAAACGGATGAGTTACAAAAAAATTCACACCCCTCACAGTTGTCATGAAGGGCAAAATTAGCTATATAGACCAAAACCACTTTTTGTACCAGGCTCTAAACATATTTTTCTGCTGTAAAGTTGGGCATTTTAACATGGGGAGTCTATGGGGACTGACTCCCTTTTGGAGCCAGTCTCTAGCGGCCAGTTGATGAATTGCAGTTTTAGTCACTTCCGTGTTGGTTTCACAAGAGAGAGCGGAAGGTTGCTGCTTGGTTTTTATGTTTAAGTATGAAATGGCATGACTACAGGAACTCACCAGTGTTGGAGCACTCATTGAGGCTGAGGCTAAAGGACTTGGTTAGGCTCATGGGTGGTTTGGTTTGGTTGGAGTTCAGGAGGCTGGCCAGACCAGACGGCTGGGAGGTGGAAGTAGAAGGTGGGCTGCAAGGAAGGACAAGGGATGACGGAGCACTTCCTGTTTTCAGCTGATCGTTCTCTGCCTTCAGACTCTCCACCACACTCTACAATGAGAGAGTTTGATTAAAGTTTAGTTTTCAATGTAATGTTTGACATGCAAAGTCATGAACTGCAGTGAAGATATGCACATATGTTTCACATATTTGTGAAATTTCACAGGTAAAACATATCCATTGTCTACTGTCAATAGTGTAGCGATGTATGCTCACACAGAAGTTACTTTCAAACCACTTAGCTTTGTGTTGGTCAATGCGACAAATTCACATGACCAACATGAACCCATAGCAAAATCTGTGAAATCTATCGCCCTTATGTGTAATTCCCAGTCGCGTAGATTCCTATCGATTTTGCCAATGAAAATTCGCAGAGCAAAGGTAACACCAAAACATCACTAAACCAGTCACTGACCTGCATGTTGTTCATGGTCTCTTGTAGCTGCTCCAGCTGATGTGCTGAGCTCAGCGCTTCTAGCCGAATGTCCGTCAGTTTCATCTCTTTCTCCCACAGCTCAGACCGCAGCTCAGACACCATCTTCTCATCGCTCTCGTTTTCCTCGTTGCTTTCATGGATCCTGTTAGAATGCAATGTCATTACTGTTTAAAAAGTGCTAACACTTAAAAGCAGTCTAAAGGGTGTAATAGTCAAATTACTGCTGCATTTCAAAAGTGAAATTGCCCAATTTTCGCCTGATATTGTGATTGGCACATGAAGACTTTACTCACACAGAGGAGTTGGCTGATTGGCTGGATGGGAGGGAAGTGGGCAGGTTCTCTCCATCTTCATGACCCAGTTTTGGTGAGTTGGGTGCAGAAGAGTCTGGAGTGGCGATCTCTTCAATATCAGAGTACATGGAGCCACCTTTAGCGCCCTTCTTAATGCTGAACGCCTTGCCAAAAGAACTTCGTAACTACAGAGAAATCGAGAGAAAGGCAGAGAACTTAAAACACACTGAAGTAATTCACAAATATAAGAATAAATGTTTATTTTCACTCATTTAAAGTTTATTAACTTTCACTGTTGTTTATGTGAAGTAAGTCTTATTTGATCAAAAATAAAATAAGTAATTTGTGAGATATTATTACAATTTAAAATAACTGTTGTATGTGAATATATTGTAAAATTCAATTTATTCCTGTGATCAAAGCTAAATTTTCAGCATTATTACTCCAGTCTTCAGTGTCACATAATTGAATATGCTGATTTGCTGCACAAGAACCATATCTTATGAGCATTAAAACAGTATTTCTGTGGAATAAATTTTTTCTGGATTCTTTGATTAATAGAATTTTTTTTTTTTTGTAAACAAAAATCTTTTGTAAAATTATTAATGTCTTTACTGACACTTTTGATCAATTTATTGCTGAATTGCTGAATAAAAGCATTAATTTATTTATATACATTTATGTGAAAATGTTATCAGCTTCTTAGAGTATAATCATAATCATATTGTTTGGAGATGTACAATTTGAGGTTCATTTTACATTCTGCAAACCTCCCTAGTTGATCAAGTGTTGAATTCAATGAAGATACTTCAAGCACAAAAGGACAGACACTTAAACAACAGCACAAGAGAAAAGGACAGATGGTTTTCAACAAGTGCACTTGAAACACTCAGGTGTTGGTGTGGATAGTTATATATGATGCAATCATTCCTAGAAATGAGTTTGCAGCCTTGAACCACAAAAAATAAAACACAGGTAAAATACCAAAGAGCTGTAACAAATTATTTCATCATGCAAAGTGATCTGTCTCTACTATACATGTCAGAGTTAGTGTGAGTGTTCAGCTGCAGCTTCATTCTTGTATGTGTAACTGCTTTTCTTCTTCTTCCGTCATAGCCATATGACACATGTGTAACCACATGTTTACAGTATTAGTAAAATAGCATTCTAGAGGGAATTCACTAAGAATGAATGGAGCCTAGTGATAGAGCTGGTCACTTGCACAAAATCATGTGTGTCCTCATTTTGTCAGTTCTTAGCAGCTGGTGCTAACTAGAGGTTGACCAATATGGATTCTGCATGGCTGATAGAGTATATCTAGTGAAGTAGGGTGGTTGATGTCCGATACAGGCCAATGATATTGCATTTAATAAAATATCCTAAATATTGCATGCATAACCAATTTTTGCAAAAAGATTTATATTTGTTGTATAATATATTTATTAAAATTAGAGATAAATCATTTGAAAAAATAGATAAATCTGTAAAATTAACAAATTTATATTTTAAATAGCATCTTAAAGGGATAGTTCACCCAAAAATTAACATTTTGTCATTAATTACCCTCATATCGTTTCAAACAGAATTTTCATTTTTGGGTGAATTATCCAGTGACGAATGGGGGCGGGGCCAAGAGCCGTGGGAACGGAGCGAGACCGGTGGAGTAATTGATAATGAGCGACACCTGCACCACTCACCGGTCTCGAGTCTCACGGAGGAGCTCCGGAAGGATAAAAAGGAGGAGTGACGATAGTGAAAGACGAGAGAGGACCAGGCCTGGAGTTTATTTTGTGTTTTGGTTTTTGTTTGTGCACGACAGTCGTCCGCGAGGGGCTGTTGCGCTGTTTTGTATTTATTTATTTTATTAAAGTTTTGTTGAAATGTTCGCCGGTTCCCTCCTCCTTCTTCCCGATCTACAAACATTACATTGGTGCCGAAACCCGGGAGGAAGGAGGGACACGCTCTCAGAGAGCCCTCGCTGCTGAGGGGGATCGCGGTGCTGAAGAGATCGGGCAGCAGGAACAAGTGGAGAGACCGCCGGGGCTGCCCGAGGCGGTGGTGCTGGAACGATGGAAGACGAGGTGGGACGGAGAGCTCCCTGCCGTGCTCCTGGGTCGAGGAGGGGGGGCTGCCGTCCGAGAGGGAGCGGAGGGGTCGGCCCCGTTAACCAGGAGGCCGGAGCCTGCTGCTATCCGCCATGATTGGGGAGGAGCAGGGAACGGGGGACTCGCTGCCGGCTGCCCCCAATAGGAGGAGCCATCGCCGTCCGCCAGGAGGCGGAGGAGCGGTGGGCCGTCCACCAACGATGTCCAGTACCATCGCATGGCACCGCGAGTGAGAGCCTCTCAGCTGGGGCTGCCGTCCGTGAGGGAGCGGAGGAGTCTGCCCGTTTGCCAGGAGGACGGAGCCTACTGCCATCCACCATGATTGGGGAGGAGCAGGGAAAGGGGGACTCGCTGCCGGCTGCTCTCAATAGGAGGAGCCATCGCCGTCCGCCAGGAGGCGGAGGAGCGGTGGGCCGTCCACCAACGATGTCCAGTACCATCGCATGGCACCGCGAGTGAGAGCCTCTCAGCTGGTTGAGGGCCGAGCGGCAGTGTGTCTGGGGAACCGGAACAAGATTTTTTTTTTCCCTTTCTCCCCTCTCTCGTATCTGTCTCTCCTCATCCTTCCGTCTCCTTTTCTCTCGCCTCGTCTGTCTGTCCTTACCCCCAGGTACGCCGCGGCCGCCGTGATCGGCTCCCCCGGAGGGGGGAGGGGGGGGAGTAGAGCGCAGTCTCGGGAGTACCCCCCGGCCTGCGAGGGCCGATGGGGGTATGTGACGAGTGGGGGCGGGGCCGAGAGCCGGGGGAACGGAGCGAGGGCGGTGGAGTAATTGATAATGAGCGACACCTGCACCACTCACCGGTCTCGAGTCTCACGGAGGAGCTCCGGAAGGATAAAAAGGAGGAGTGACGACAGTGAAAGACGAGAGAGGACCAGGCCTGGAGTTTATTTTGTGTTTTGGTTTTTGTTTGTGCGCGACAGTCGTCCGTTTTGTATTTATTTATTTTATTAAAGTTTTGTTGAAATGTTCGCCGGTTCCCGCCTTCTTCTTCCCGATCTACAAACTACGTTACATATCCCTTTAATGTTATTATACTATTTTTTCACAGATAAAGAAGTGAAAAAAGTAAACACTGTGAATAACTACATTCAGTAATCTGGTAAGGCTGTGTGAACTTCGAATCACATTTTCTATTTTCACATACAGTACACAGTGAATATAATATGAATATGACATGAATTTGTTGTAGTGGCAAACTGGATATAAAGCATTAGACATGTTTGATTTTCAATTATTAGAGAGAAAAACGACACTAAGCCAATAAAGATGGAGAAAGACAACTTCTGAATCTGCACTCGCTTGGATTTCAGTGCTGTCAAAATAAAAGTCCTGCTTTCAACACTCATTGACCAAACAGAAAAAAACAATGGCTGATGCCAGTAGCTAAAAATGTATTTATTGGTCGACCACTTGTGCTATCTGCTCAGTAAATTCACCTCATAACATTTGTAACATATAGTATTTTACACATATGAAAGTATAAGCGGCAGTGACTGTTAGAGGAGGTGCACCGATGATAACCTTTATAGAGCGGTTAGAAACAACAGATGAGGAACATTCCCTCAGAGAGACATATAAACTTACCTCATAGACCTTAGAAATTTACAAAGAGTATGTGAAAACTGTGGTTATGCGCGAGCAGATAATAATAGTCACTATAATTCCATCTTAGGCTCTTTCTTCCGCTTACCCAGCTCTTTTTCTTCTTCTTCTTGGCGTCGTCTTTCAAGCTGCCCACACTGGAGTGACTGGTAATGCTATTCAGACTAGAAATGCTCTCGGATGAGTTCTGCCTCCTGATTCGCAACTCTGAGAGAAGAAATAAAGAGCGTTTGTTTGCTAACGTTCATTGGATATTGAGCTAAAACTCAATTTGAGGTGCATGTTTGCTGTCTTCACCTTTGGGGGCAACATCTGGGTTACTGAGTGCGACTTGGATGACGGCCTGCGCCTCCATGTTCTTGGTCTTTAGGCTCTCGATTGTTTCTCTAAGGTCCAGTAATTCACTGTCCTATAGAGAAAAAACACAGATGTATTTAGTCGGCGCTCATCCATTTAAAGCATAAACATTGAAACAGCATTCCCCAAAGCGCTGCTACTGACGGTTTTCCAAACAAATGTAGGTTCACTTCTGCTTTCCGCAATGATTTACTGCCTGCACTTGACCAATGACATTTACGGCAGACAAAGCCACAGGGACGTCTACAAAAGCTCCTCCAGCTGTGCATCACTGGTATCTCAACATCATGTGCTTTCTATAAATCACTGAAATGATCTGTAGGGTCACAGCCACTGAAACGAATGCATGAATCCGGGTCGCTGCATCGCAGCGTAAGCTCTCTAGACCGGCTGCCTCTTTCACAGAGGGCAATGTGACATGAAGGTCAGCGTTGCACTTCTAAACCCTCCTGCATATGCATTAATTTAGCCAAAGGCAAATCATGAACTCAAAATTTTGGAGTATTGCACAGATAAACATACTGACCCCTTGACAGTAAATTAAAGCCAGCAACCCCCAAAATCCATTCAGTCATAATTTGCTCTTTGGCTCTCTGTGACTCTGTGAGGTTACATGTATTGATCTAAATATGGGCGGTAAACGGTGGTAAGTTACCACCAGTTACCCCAGTTAAGGGGTAATATGTTTCAAACACATGGTCCCCCCCCCCCCAAAAAAAAAATGGTTTGCTTTTTTGTCTTTAAAACATGGTACTACACTGAACGAAATGGTGTAGAATTCACTTTGAAACTATTTTGACTCAGAAATTACTAGAATATTTTAAAAAAAAAATGACAAAGAAATGTCAAGTAATGGGAAATTAAAGATAAAATGTTGTAGTAGAAAGACGGAAAGAAATATTTTCTTGTAAAACATTTTCTAATACATTTGGTCAAGGATCCTGCGTCATCACGATATGAAAAGCTAATGCTGTAACTGTTACCAATAAGCTATAAATGGTGGAACTGAGATGATTGCAGGAGTTTTTGTTTGTTTTAAGGATGAATATCATACCTTCTGATCAGAGCTGACAGAGAGGGTCTGGAGTCGAGAGGTCATGAGGGCCAGACTCTGCTCAAATGCTGCCACCAGGTTGGCCTATAGATAAACAAAAAGAATCCATTGAATTGCATTACATATGATCATCATATCATTAAAGTTATATTAAATAAAGAATGAATGTTAAAAAAAAAAATTATAATAAAAAAATAATACACACTACCGTTCAAAAGTTAGGGTTCTGTAAGATTATTTTCTAAGTTTGTAAAAGAAGCCTCTTATGCTTACTAAGTCTGCATTTATTTGATAAAAGTAAAACTGATATTGTGAAATATTATTGCAATTTAAAACAACTGCTTTCTATTTGAATGTATTGTAAAATGTAATTTATTTCTGTGATCCAAAGCTGGATCTTCAGCATCATTACTCCAGTCTTCATTGTCACACGTGATCCTTCAGAAATCAGTATAATATGCTGATTTGCTGCACAAGAAACATTCATGATTACGGTCAATGATTTTTTCATTATTCTTTTATGAATAGACTGAATAGAATAAATTAATAGTGTACTGTACATACAAAATAGTATGTGCGTTCCTATGTGACAGTGTACACTTACATTAGCAGACAGCTGTGAGGTCAGATTGGCCACCTTGTCCTGTGAAGACTCCAGCTCCCTCCTCAGCTTACGGATTTGCTGTGAAGAACCGAACAAAGTTATTAGCCAACTTAAAATTCAATGCATAAATCTGCATCAAAAATGTAAAGGAATAGTTCACCCAAAAATGAGAATTCGGTCATCACTACTCTTCCTCATGTTGTTCCAGACCTGTATGACTGAGGACTGTCAAGCTCCAAAAATGACAAAACAGCAAAGTAAAAAATATAATGAAAGAACTCCATACTTTTGAAGTACTCTGAAGTCCTATGATAGCTTTACGTGAGAAAAGGTCATTAATTGACTGACAATGTTCTCCAATAAAGCTCTCACATCTCATTTGTGCAGTTCATATGAGCTACTTTTATATTGTCATTTCTGAGCTTGCCACTGAATTCCACTGAATAAAAAAAGCAGAACACAGCAGGAAAAAAAAACTCATTCTGCTGATCGTCTGCTTTTGTGTTCCAGGGAAGAAAGCAAATCATATAGGATTGTCGTTATGGGATATTCATAGTCATTGCAGGAGTAAATTATGACAATTTTCATTTTTGGTGAACTATTCCTCTAATGATCAGATTATTTACTTTGACATAAATCTCTAAATTGTTTTTCCTAATTGACAGTGTTACAGTCAAACTGAACTGCTGAAGCTCACTGCAGCTGCTGGAAAACTGTGACAGATGATATTTAGCACTCCCAATAGCAACTGTGTCTGTTTATATGATCTCTATTTGGAACAGGGTGATAAACTCTATACATGCAACTGAAGACAACAGAAAGACGAATGGAGAGTATATTCACATACTATGAGGCGCAGCAGACCAGAACAACACACACAATGAGTAAAATCAGACTCACTTCAAGCCTTCAGGCTTGGAATGCAAACCTTCACCAAGTACACTTTTTGTCCATCTCTCTAAGAGAGTTTTTCGAAGTAACTTGGTGAGACACCTTCATTTTGCATCCATAGATCAAGTAGACGCATCACGAAAGAGTGAAGGCCTTTTCCCATCAGGATATGAAACAATAGCACCACAACGATAACATACAAAAACTAGTCTAACTAATGCAATGTGCCAAGTCTAAAAGACCATAACGCAGTCTAAAAGATCACATGTTTTCTTTTTCTTCATCATTTCTTCATTTCTTTTTCATTTGAAAGGATTATTATTTTTTTTAAATTGTTTGTATACTATTTTTTTAAATTAGATATTATTTTGATTATATTTATATAGTATATATACTATATATAGTTATTGTTAACATTAATTAAAGCTAATTTACTATAGATACAGAGTACATATATAAATGCTTTATATAAATGACATTACACTTTATAAATACATTTAAACTCAGCAATTCAATAAATGTATATATTAATTTATATGTTCTTATTTGTTTGGATGCTGAAGATTTTTTTACATTTTAATTTCTATTCAAAGTTGCATATAAAATGACAAACTTAGCAATTACAATTTTAATTTTTATTCTGAATCAAGGTCATTTTTTTAATTGTTTGGATGCTGAAAATGTGTTTATTAGTTTTCTTAATATAAATGAAAGATATCCAAGTTTCATATAAAATGACAAAAATGTGGCAATTTATTGCAATTTACAATTTAATTCAACAACTACATTTTTATTCTGAAGCAAGGTCATTTTTTTAATTGTTTATGCTCAATACAATGTTTGGCCTTCATTTAGATATCAAGTATTTTTCATAAAAACAAATCAATGTCAATACAAATATTTTGAATGCGACAATTACTTTTATTTTTAATTATATAATATTTCATTTTTATTCTATTTTTATTATTTGGTGTTTGTTTTATCCCATCTGATGTGAATAGGCCTTCACATTATAGTTATGAAACACAGAACATGGAGGCAACTATAAAAACCAACACGTGGCAAGTGGTTAGCTACTGATTTCCTTCAGTCCAGAGACAGTCGGTCATGATTGAATGAAACACAGCAGAGGAATCTCATAACAGCCTTCTGGACAGCTAATGACAGTTAAAGGCTTTGACTCTATGTGTTAGTTCGTTAGCTCCTAACATTAGCTGACTTCAGCTGTTATGATCTCTGAGAACATGTATGACAAAAAGAGGTTATTAATATGACTGCCATTCATTTCTGAATGACAGAGAGGGAAAATCAGAGATGAGAGACAGACACTCACCTCGCCCTGCATTCTCTCCTCCGCCTGAGAGAAGCACGGAAGAAAAGAACGACAGATAGACAGTAAGATACTAAAGAAATGGATGTTTATAGTGAATACAAACTAAAACAGGGCTGCACGATTCGGTTGATTTTTTATTGATTTATTTTTTGACAAATATTGTGCTTTTGAACTGCAGCATAATAAAGATTTAATATCTCATCTAAGATGTCAAAGCTAAATAAATAAACATAAGTGTGTTTACACTTGTTCTCTGTAAAGGAACCAAATTGAATTTGCTTCCAGCTTACCTAAAATTCTGTTGGGGGAAAAAAATCACATTATATACATTAATATATATACAGTGGGTACGGAAAGTATTCAGACCCCCTTAAATTTTTCACTCTTTGTTATATTGCAGCCATTTGCTAAAATCATTTAAGTTAATTTTTTTTCCCTCATTAATGTACACACAGCACCCCATATTGACAGAAAAACACAGAATTGTTGACATTTTTGCAGATATATATAGGGATGGGAAGATTCCCCGATTCGCACGGTGCATCGGCATAAAAAGTTAACGATACGATGCATCGGTTTAAAAAGTGTGCATCGGCTACAAGTTGTCATTTATATTGCAATGCAAATGTTTGCATCAGTAACAACTGATTTATTTATATTTATAAAAACGGATAGTTCCGCACTTTATTTGCTCTGTTTTATTCTGTGGAACCTTACTACGTATATGGAATAACCGTTTTGTAAAAGCAATAAGCCCCGTGAAGCCGTGGTCCGCTTCGAGTCGTGCCTAACAACGCACCTTAGCTGTTATAAATTCACTAAACCACGGCTTCTTGGGGCTTATTGCTTTAATAACTACTAGTGGATGCGCTATATACTTTTATTATTTAGAAAGTGACCAATAATTTTATGTAGATTGACTTCTCCTCTCTAAACTGTTTCTCAAGCACGTTCTCTCATCACCGCTGCGCGTGTATATGATGTATCACAACACCACTACGGAGACCTGAGGAAAAGCGGGGTGTAAAGTCCAAAACCTGACTTGAAATAACCTAACAAATAAATCGGGGCTAAAACAGGTCCATAAATGACAAATTAAGTTCACACAATCTCACTAATTTGCGCACGCTTATTTTTAAGCAGCCTTAAAGTCTGCGTGAAGCAGAAGTTGCTGCCGACTTTATTTCAGTGTAGTGACGTATTTCCAGCCGAAACGGAATATTGAGTAGAGGGCGGGGTTTTATTTTTGCAGTCCTTCTCTCTGTTGGAGGGGTGTGTTTAACGATATTCTGCCCAAGCCGTCAAACTGACGTCATCAAAGAAGGAAAGCCATTCCAAACCGGAAGCAAATGTTCAGATTTTGATTCAAGAATTTTTTTTTCAGCGTATTAACTTGCACGGATTAATTGTTCACATCAAGACTAGCAATGTGCGCTAGTAAAGTAAATAAAGCCAATTTTGATTTCATGCTGACTTTAATGTCGATCATGAATCAAATCGATATATCTGTGCTGTTTAATGCATTTGAGACGTTGTGTTTTCCTCATTGCATAACTGACATGTCACAGGTATATCATCTGTAAATGTTAGAAAGTCATGCAAACATATCTATTTTGCTGTCAGGAGTGGTCGAGTGAACGAGTGCTGCTGCGCGCTAAACAGACGGAGCATGATAGAGTAATAGCGCAATAATTCTGAGTAAAATATACATTTTGCTAAAATATTTGTTGTTGGACATTAAATGGGTCTTTTGTAGAATTACACCTACATAAACGTGTATTTTTATGATAGCAGTAACTGTAAAGGGACTATTGCAATGGGTAAATCAAATGTACAGTACTAATTACTAAGCTCAAATGAGTTAGTGTGAGATTCTGATAGCAGTTCAAATATAGCCATTTTCTTTATTATTTATTTTCATTTTTAATTCAGTGATTTTAACTTTTAATTTAGTTATTTTAATGCTTTAAAGAGCAATTTTATATTGTAATGTTCTAATGTCCTGCTATCTGTTCTGCAAACTATAAAAGGAACAGCTTTAATATGACCAGAGAGAAAGGCTGCATGGCTAGAAACTGTAAAAAAAAAAAAAAGGTCAAATAATAGTATGTGAGAGAGTGGTAATATCATTGTGTACTTATTGGTCAGTGTTAGAGGAACTCAGCTTAGCCTGACAGTTAGCCTGCTTTAGACCAGGTTAGTTTCCCAGCATAAGTTGCCACAGTGACTAAGCTTGATCTAGGCCTATGTTAAGTTTGCTTTATGGAACCAAATCATTTGACAATGAGTCAGACTAACTGAAATAAGCCTGGCTTATTTGGTTAACTTGTTTTATGAAACAGGCCTCGAGGCATTCAAAGTGATCATATTTTCTTCATTGCATCATATTGCATCGAATCGCATTGTGTTGAATCAGATCGCACTGCATCGTAACAGGGGTTAATCGTATTGCATCGCATCGGTAGCTGCTTCATATGTATCTTTAATGTATTGTATCGTTGGCTATGCATTGAGATGCGTATCATATCAGCCTCAGTCATGAGAGATGCACATCCCTCATATATATATATATATATATATATATATATATATATATATATATATATATACATTA